TTCTCCTTGGAAGTCCTCCAGAAGATTTTTAATATATTTTGGTGCTCCTATATTGGGTGCATATATGTTTATCAAGGTTATATCTTCCTGTTGGATAGATCCTTTCAATATTATGTAGTGGCCGTCTTTGTCTCTAGTTATGGTCTTCATTTTGAAATCTATTTTATCAGATATGAGAATTGCTACCCCAGCTTTTTTTTGCTTTCCATTTGCTTGGAAAATTTTTTTCCATCACTTCACTCTCAACCTATGTGAGTCTTTTATTGAGAGGTGGGTCTCTTGTAAACAACATATAGATGAGTCATGCTTTCTTATCCAATCAGCTACTCTGTGTCTCTTTATGGGAGCATTCAATCCATTTACGTTTAAGGTGATTATTGATATGTACTTATTTATTGCCATTTTTGTTTAGTGTGGTTCTATTTTTCTTCCCATTTCTACTGCTAATTACAGCAGTCCTTTTAACATTTCTTGCAGTGCTGGTTTGGTGCTAATGTATTCCCTTAGCCTTTTTTTGTCTGGGAAGCTCTTTATTTGATCTTCTATTTTGAATGATAGCCTTGCTGGGTAGAGTAGTCTTGGATTCAGATTCTTGTTTTTCATGACTTTGATTACTTCATGCCATTCCCTTCTGGCCTGTAGTGTTTCTTGTGAGAAGTCAGCTGAGAGCCTTATGGGGTTCCCTTTGTAGGTAACCTGTTGCTTATCTCTTGCTGCTTTTAGGATTCTCTCCTTGTCTTTAATTTGTGGCATTTTAATTACTATGTGTCTTGGTGTGGGCCTGTTTGGGTTCTTCTTACTTGGGACTCTCTGTGCTTCTTGAACTTGAATGCCTTCTTCCTTCACCAAATTAGGGAAGTTTTCTCTCACTATTTTTTTGAATATATTCTCTATCCCTTGCTCATTTTCTTCTTCTTCGGGGACTCCTATGATGCGAATATTATTATGTTTCCAGTTGTCCCATAGTTCTCTTAAGCTGTCTTCCTGTTTTTTAAGTTTTTTTCCTTTTGTTTTCTGATTGGTTGATTTTTTCGACCCTGTCTTCTAATTCACTGATCCGGTCCTCAGCTTCCCCTACTCTGCTTTTTAAACCTTCCAATGTGTTTTTCATTTCTGATATGTCATTTTTTATCTCTTCTTGTTGGTTTTTAATTTCCAATTGGCTTATTTTCAGTGTCTCTATGTCCTTACTCATGCTGTTCAGCTTCCTCAAGATCATGGCTCTGAATTCTAGCTCTGTTAACACGCCTAATTGCTCCACATTGATCTCATCTTCGGTGGAGGTGTCTTGCTCTTTCATTTGGCTTCTGTTTCTGTGTTTCACCATTTTGGCTATCACTGTGGGCTTTGGAGCCTGTCAAGTTCTCCCTGTGGGTGTTGGTGTTCTGCTGTTTGTGGCTCCCTCTCCTGTGTTTAGATGAGCGAGGGCGGACCCACGTTGAACACCACTGTCAAGTCTTACTTTCCTGGTTAAAGTTGCCAGCCCAGGAAACGTACTGTTATCCTCTAGCTTTTTGCCTGGAGGCTAGCAGTCTAGGTTAATTGATCCATTTTGGGTTGTCAGTTGATTGTAAAACTCCCTCTGGTGCTCAGCCAAGGGGCTTTCAGGAGGGTGGGGCAGATGCTGGTTGTTAGTGAGCCTCAATTAGCTCTTCAATGGCCACAGGGTGGGGTTGGATCTCCGAGGGAGGGGCTGCTGCCTCTCCCCAGAGCCCTGGGAAGGAGCAATGTGGCCACCGTCCTGAGTGGCTGCACTCAGCCAAAGCTCTGAGCGCCCTCCAAACCCCGAGTGTCCCGACACAGCTCCAGTGCAGTCCGCCCTCCCTCCGCCGGAGCCCAAGGTGAGTGGCTGTGGCTGTTGCAGCCTCTGTCCCGGCTGCGCTGTGGGGCCGCCTGGGAGTGTGACCCGAGGGCGCTGCTCCCAGCTGAGGCCGCTGCCGAGCTGCCGACCGTGGGCTCCCAGCCCCGTCTCGCGCCTTCGCAAGCCTACCGGGATGGAGTCAGTGTCCCTCGTTGTATGGTCCTCGCAAGCTGCTTTTCTGTTGGTTTTTCCCGTCGATTTGTCTGTGTTATAGTTGTAATTCCAGTTTGGTTCTGGGAGACGGTCTGTGTAGCTCCGTTCACTCCGCCGCCATTTTTCGGTTCTCCAAAGATACTTATAAACAACGAAATAAATATTAAACTCTGCATACTGCCAACACTGTACAGCATAATGGTTAGCAATGCAGACTTAGGTACCATCCTCCTGGTTCATCTACTTATTGTCTCAGTCCTCGTTGGGTAAGCTACTTAGCTTTCCTGTGCCTCAACGTCTTCTCTGTAATGGAAATACGAGTAGTATCTGCATGAGTTCCTCCAGCACTAACCCTCTAGTTCAGAGATTGGCAATCTGCAGCCTGTGGGCCAGACCTGGCTTGCTGCCTGTGTTTGTAAATAAAGTTTTGTTGGAACTCAGCCACAGTCATCCATTTATGTATTCATCTGTGGCTGCTTTCATACTACAAAGGCAAAGTTAAGTAAGTTGGCCCTTGAACAGTGCAGGTTGGAACTGTTTGCGAGTTGTTCAAGAGTCGAGCGTATTTTCCATCCACAGCTGGACCCCACATATGCAGAAGGTGGACATAAGTGATACACAGATCTCTGACTGCACCCCTAACTCCCACATTTTTCAAGGGTCAACTGTAGTTCCAACAGAGACTTATAGCCCACAAAACCCAAAGTACTTATTGTCTGGCCGAACTCTGGGTTTGACTAGCAGACCTCTGTAGTCTTGTTGAAACCTATCACATCGTAATCTCGTGGTCATGAAGTGACTTAACCGGCCTAGAGATCTGATCAGGAAAAAGTGGCATTAACATAGCCAGCATGCAGGCAAGAGATGCTCAGTTATTTGATCACTTGGAAACAGCTCAGAACCATGACTAATTGTGCTGGGGGGCCATTGTTAAGTAAAATAAGGGTGACTTGATCACGAGCATCGAGATGCCATGAAAGTTGATCAGATAATCCGCCTGGCTGCTGGGTGACCGACGGGTTGGTAGCATGTATAGCGTGGACACTCTGGACAATGGGATGAGTCAAGTCCAAGGTGGGACAGCAGAACAGTGCAAGATTTCATCAAACTACTCAGAACAGTGCTCTGGAGGGTGGCTCTGCTCAGTGAGACCTTCGAAGACCGGGTTCCATTTGTCTTGTGCTCCGCCATCACCTGTGATAGGTTGCATGGTTGGCATTGGTTCACCAGTGTCTTTTTCTCCCACCCTTCAGGAAGGGAACACCAGTGAATGAAAAACAATCCACTTCCTTTTTAAAGGACGGGACCTAGACCTTGGCTTCCACCTCAACTCTGAGATCTTAGCCACAGGGCCACCCACAGGTGAAAGACAGGTAGAAGATGTGACTTCAGCTCGGCAGCATGTGGCCAGCTACAATTCAGTGGATCCTGTTTTCAAAAGGGAAAAGAATGGATGGTGGAACCAATTAGGAGTCTTTCACGAGCATTGTCATGGAAGCTATTATTGTTTCATTGACCCTAAGACACTTTTTATTTTAAGACGCATCATCATTTTATGTATCACTAAATAAGAAAACTGTGCTATTTAAACGATGACACATTGTTTTCTCATCAGCTCAGTTGTAGGACATGTCCTAATTTAAGAGATGTTTATAGGTGAAAAATATGGGTCTCGGTCTAGAAGAAACACAATGTTGGAAAGACTTAGGGAAAGAAAGTGATCTGAAGACATGCATTTTGCAGTCATCTTTTGCACGCGTTGGACTTTCCCTGAAGCAAGCATAGGCAAGAGAGAGCGGGCTTTGGTTGGCTGTTGAGTATGAGGTTCAGAATAGCTCATTGACCACTAACTATCAGTGTGAATGTACTCAAAGCCAAATTCCTACGACTGCTGGTACAGGGACTTCTGGCTCAAAGGCTTGGGGAAAATGTGTCCAGATTTGCACTCAATTTGGGCCAGATCTGGAGTTGAATTAAACAGACAGCAGGGTCCATACATGGCCAGGGCCCTTGTTCTCTTCTTTCAACATTCAGTCATCACCCGAATGCCGATTGAACACCAGGCACTTTGCTCGGTGCTACGATACAGTCCCTGCCCTCCAAGAGCTCCCGAGCTCACGGAGGGGGCGGTACGTAGACCTGCAGAGTGTGTGGTGGTGGGTCCAGGGACAGAGGTCTGGTGAGTAGAAGCACAGATTGGAGTCATTCATTCTGCCTGCGTTGAGGCAAGACCTCCCAGTGGAGAGGCAGTCGGCACTGGGGAGGGCTGTCCCTCCAAACAGAGGTTGCAGAATGTGCTAGCTCATGGAAACGGGAAACCATTGTCACTCGGGAATAGGGTTGTGATTCCTTTGGAAGCAGCTGTGGTCATGGAGGGTTGGCTGTTCGGCTTTGTTTTATCACAAATTATACACCAGAGGCAAACAGCAATCTTGATTTAATTGAATTACAGAAAAGGCCAACTTCTTGGGTGGCCCCACAAGGGATGAGGTGAATTTTTCTGGGTCAAAAGGATGCTAGATGGACAGAAACAAAGCGATGCCTTTGCTGCCAGGCTTGCTCTTGACCTTAACATTCCTCCTTCTCATCTGTCAACAGGTTTAAGGTTTTAAAAGATTAAGAGACACGTGTTTTGGTTCCCACCTGCTTTGACCACTTTTACGCTGATTTTCTCCAACTTAATAAACACACAAATGTATTTGACTTTCGAACACCCCTTTTTTTCCGTGTTTGCTCAGTTTACACTCCTGCCAGTAATAATAGTTTAGCATGAGGTTCTCAGCACGACAACCACATCTTTGTGAACTTGACCGGTTGAAAGGCTAGAGGACCAAACCTTGAAGGTGTTAAGATGTACTAGTGAAAGAGCCGAGTCAGTCCGGGAAGGTCATCGGTCCGGTAGCTTTGAACCTGGTCAATGACAAGTCTGTAATATGCAGGTGTTCCTTGCTGTGTATTGCTACTGAAATCTGCTTCTCTTGTGTAGATCACTGTTACAGATGAGGAAGTTAGTAATCCATCCTTTTTAGATCTGGTGAGAACTCCCCAAATGAGGAAGTGCACACTTATACTTATGTTTGCTTGGTAAGTTGGACTCGTGATGGCTTCCAAAGCTTGTGTCAAATTTGCACCGCGCCCTGTCTTCCGCCAGGCGGGCGCCACCCCTTCCTGGCTCTCCACTGTCTCCCACTGTCTCGCAGGTTCACCAGCGCGGTGGTGTACCAAGGGCTCATCATGCGCCTGGGGCTCATAGGCGGCAACCTGTACCTCGACTTCTTCATCTCGGGGGTCGTGGAGCTGCCGGGCGCCCTGCTCATCCTCCTGACCATCGAGCGTTTCGGACGGCGTCTCCCCTTTGCAGCCAGCAACATCGTGGCGGGAGTGGCGTGCCTGGTCACCGCATTCTTGCCTGAAGGTAATCGTCTTCCGAGTCAGGCCTTTATTTATTTATTTCTATCCTCACCCGAGGGGACAGTTTTGCATTTGTCCTCAGATAGAGTGGGAGGGAGGGAGAGAGGGAGGGGGAGAGAGAGAGAAACATCGATGTGAGAGACACACATCGACTGGCTGCCACCCACACAACCCCATCCGGGGCCGGGGACAAACTGCAACTGAGGTACGTGCCCTTAGTGGGAACTGAACTGGGACTCTCTGGACCGCGGGCCAATGTTCTAACCGCTGAGCCAAACGGCCAGGGCTTCCAAGTCGAATCTTCAGTCAGACTCACCCACAGTGGGGACACTGTCCGTGCATCACATCTCGGTCCTGGGCACATTTCATCACGACACTTGCTTTCCTTCCAGACCGCCCTAAGGACTCCGAGTGGGAGCTATTGGTTCTACAGACTTTTCTGTTTCCTCCTCTTCTAGGTTCATTTATGGAGGTAACAGACAGTGAGTGACATCTCGGTCGTGGGGCGGGGTTTCCTTTTGACCGCCTTTGTCTGACTTGTGACCGCAGGGACAGTACTTGCGGTATTTCCCGAGCATCAGCCGCGTCACCAGCCTCTGCGGGACGCGGAGGGCCCAGGGGAACGAAACCACGGTTTTGAGTCCAAAAGGTTCCCAGCCTAGAGTGGGGTGGAGACAGGGCGATACTCTCGCAGCTCACGGTGACGAGTGGTTTCACAGAAGTCCTCACGGGCTTCAGAACTGGCGCGAAAATAAAAATAAGTAGGTGTGAGGAGTGATTCATCTGAGGGGGCGTCGGCAGAAGGTGAGCACGGGGCCCAGAGGAGGAAGGGACAGGAACGCAGGACAGAAGGGAAGCTGGCTTGACTTTTTCCAACGGGGATGTGGTTCCGGGAGCAGGAATCACCTGGGGGGCCCAGGAGCCCAGCCCTCTGTCATGGCTGCTGGCCGGGTGGGGAGCCTGCTTCTGGCCCTGTGAGCTGCGGGAGGAGGGGCGGGGGCCTCCCATAGCGGCAGCAGTTTGGACAACGACGTGAGGGAGAGGTGCTGAGAGCACGGATTAAGGTGGCAGCAGCCGGGCCTGGATGGGAGGGGAGTATTTCAGAGACGTTTGAGGGCGCAGCCGCCCAGGAACTGATGACTGGTACAGAGGTTGTGTCCAGATACACAGTTCCTATGGCCCAGGTCATCTCTGCACGGGGCACAGCAGGTGCCGGGCAGAGGGAGCCTGTCAACCCCCCAGGGGCACGGGGTGCGAGCGAGCTAATCGTTTCTGTGTTGGGGCGCGGGGTGCGGGTGACGGGAGAGCCGTTGCCTGGCACTGCTTTGTGCCAGCGTGCGACAGGCCGCCTTTTCCTGCGAATCCTCCGAGGACCAGGGAAGACTGGATGTCGTTGTGGCATCTGAGCGGCCATGTACAGAGGAGTTTATGAATTACGGGAGGGCGTCTGACGTCCAAGCTTCATGTAGACCCGATGTCAGTAAATTACAGAACTGCCATCTCCAGAACAGAAGGGGCAAAGGAGGTCAAGTCCTGTGTCTTGTTGGGCTGGCTGATGACCACAGACCTGACCGGTCACATTTCTCTTGCTTTTCTGGGGCGTATTCATTTCCTGGGTGTGCAGTAAGGAGGCGCCACCCTCTGGGCGGCGGGGAACACTGAAATGGACTCTCACCTTGGAGCCTGGAACAGGGTATGGCAGGGCCAGGCTCCCTGCGGCTCTGGGTGAAGGTGCCCTCCCACTCTGCCAGCTGCTGGGGTTGGCCGGCCGGGCTGGTTCCTTCCAGAGGTCCCGAGGGGAATCGGGCCCGCACCTCTCCCCTGGCTCCGGAGGCTTGCTGGCATCGCTTGATATCCACCGTCTCCGCCGCCTCCTTCACACCACCTTCCCTGAACTATTACAGCCGCAAAGACCCTGTTTCCAAATAAGGTCCGGTTCTTAGGTTCTGGGCAGACATGAATTTGGGGGGACACTGTTCAACACTCATTCTAAGAGGTGGAGAATCTCTATAAGAGCTGTCGGCCAATACACGTCTATTTAGTATGTGTTCACAGCCGCCACTAAACCAGCAGGGGGCATAGAGCCGGGACAGGAAAGCAGCGCCTGCCCTCGGGGGTGGAGTGCAGCGGCAGTGGAAGGACACGTGGGGAATGCTGGGGACCCCTCTTTTCACTTCGTTTGGCTTTGGCGCTGCATAGTTCGGGGTGTAATTTAAAAATGGAGTTCCCTAAGGTGAGGTCGTCTGTTCCCCTCGCCCGCGGAACGGGAATGAAGTGATCACTGTGCGTGAAGTTAGGAAAGTGAGGAGAAAGACGGATGACGGTGTGGCCACCAGCCCGCGAGGCACACTTGTCCTGCAAGGGCTCCTCCCGCCCTAGGCGCTGGGGACGGTTTTAACGTGTGCTGGGTTCGGCAGGCCCCAGAAAGCACATGGGGCCGGATGTGCAAACCACTTTCACGTAAGGGGGCCGGTGGGCTTCAAGCCGATGCGTAGAGAGCACTGTCGTCTATTGGGAGCTCTAGGCGAAGAAGAGTCTTGTTTGTGTAGTCTGACCCGCTTTAGTTTGTAGATGTCACTGCTCATCCTAAGCCTTAGACTTGTTCTTGGCAGTGTCGAATGATCGCTCTATTTTGGACACTTTATGTATATATTCCGCACACTCAGCTGTTTTCATAGTCACATGTGGTCTGGTTGACAAGAATAAGCGTCAAATCCATGGGCGTACCAGATACTAACAGGTCCTCCCTAGAGTTGGCCGTCCTTACGTCCACTTAAAGAGCTTCTAGACTTGGTTACTGGGCTTTTCAATGACCACTAGAACAATGTGCCCCTCAGTCCCTCTGGAGGACATCGGCAGGGTGACAGGCCCTGTGGAGAATGCTGGGAGCCTTTCAGAGAAGTTTAACTGGCTTCCCCTCCACTGAGCACGGCTTGTCAGGGTCTGAAGAATGAGACCGTGGAAGAAGACGTCTTTCTGGTGGCACGTGTCCTCACCTAAGACACCGCCTTAAACCGAAGCGCTGAGCTCTGAAGTCCGAAGGGAAAGAGCTTCCTCTGCCCCCACCCCCACCCCATCTGCCGTCTTCCTCCTGAGTTGATTCAGGATGGCTGCAGACCTAGCGGTGGGGGCAAGTCTGACTTCTATTTTTATTTCTATTTAAGTGAAAAGTAACATCTCTGTTAGGGATGTTCACTAAATGTTATTTCAAAACTTAGAACCGATGATACATTCAGAGGAGATGCAAAATTGTGTTTGTTTAAAATCCTGCATTCTGGCCCGGCTGGTGTGGCTCAGTGGTGGAGCATCAGGAGGTAGCCGGTTCGATTCCCGGTCATGCAGGAGGTGGCCAGTCGATGTTCTCTCTCATCGATGTTTCTATCTATCTCTTCCTCTCCCTTCCTCTCTCTCTCAAAAAATAAAATAAAATAAATAAAATCCTGCATTCTTTCTTCAAACATTGAGGTATTATTCCCAGGAATCTTGAGAAGCTTGACCAAATCCCCATTCAGAGGGACCTCTTTCTCTAAGTTCTCTTGACACTATGAAAGACAGTTGCAGCTTCGGTACTGATGTTTAAATTGTCTGGTGGTTTTTTTTGTTTTTTGTTTTTTGGTCATTGTTATCAAGAGATGTCTACTGCCACCATGACTTAGCACATTCCTGGGTGAGCGAGAGATTTTGTATAATATTCACACACCCATTGCACTTTCTGATACATTGTTTCATTTCCCACGCTAGTGCCTGTGGGACCTCTGTCGCAGGCTTCAACAAGATCTCTGTGCCTGTGTGGTTGCAGTGAAGTCTTGGCCCCTAGCTGGGAATGAGATGAGGGTCTTTCAGGTTAAGGTCATCATATAGGATCAACCACGTCTCCTCAAGCGTGTCAACGTTATAGCGTTTGGTGAATGATTTTCTGAATTGACTAGATGTTTCATGTGTGTGTGGGTGTGCACTTTAATTTGATTTTTGTCTGGTTCTTTCCAGCAAACTGTTCTAGTCTCAGTTGTAAATTTAATTTGTCATTGAAGTTATCAGTGGGACTCGCTTATAGAACAATCTTGATTCAGTAGAAAAAATCTGTAGTTTAAGAACCTAATTGGATAATCAAGTTCTTTTTGTGTTAGCAGGCTACATTCTTCTCTTCCGCCTGAGCGCAGTGGGTGGTTGCCCAGTCGGGCTGGGGCCCAGGGAATCTGGGCACCGGCTCCCACATTCCGTTCCCCAGCACCTGGCAACGAACCACCTGCTCACCGAAGGAAGGGGTGGAATGCATTTCCTAGTCCCTCCTGGCTTTCATGGGAAAACAGAGCCTGAATAAGACACATGTTTACAGCTGTTCTGTGCCAGCGCGGATGGGGCCCCGCGCATCCACAGGGCTCCCTGCTCTCTGGGGTGCTCCTGGGAGAGCCTGAGGTGATCTCATCTGGGAAACATCAAGCCTGCCGGGCCGCCTCGGCCAGTCTGCGATGGACGCCTCGGGCACCGGAGCCTCCCTGCGTGGCCTGGATTCCCACGGTCTTCCGCTGCTCGCCCTCCTAGACAACTGTTGTATCAGTGGGTCTGGGCTCTGTATCTGTTGACTGCTCTTCGGAGAACATGCACCGACCCACTGAACTCAGTTCTTTTCTGTCATCCTCCTCATCCATGCCCATGTCCCTACCAAAACCATACCTTCGGGAAAGTGCAGTCATTCTAGGAGACAGGAACCTCAGCAGTGCTGAGTGAGCATGAAAAGTATGACTGTCAAGGGCAGGGTTTCATTTCCAAAGCTGGGGGGAGACAGGCCACGTGCCCTCTGCTTTGCTGAGCACGGGGTGCCCCTGCCCCGCAGTCTCGTGGCCTCAAGCGGGTCCCCTGGAGGGCGCCAGGAACCGCACAGCTCGGGAGGTCTGGAGCACGGATATTTTAGCACAGAAATGGTTTACTCCTTCCTTTAAAACACAGGAGAAGGAAAATATTTAATAAAGAACTTTTGGTGTTTCTCACTAGCTCCTCGTTCAACCAGAGGAGCCCTAAAACAGTGTATTTGTCAATGAATGGGCCGCCTGGTACTTCAGAATCGGGCTCTTCTGGATCTTTTCTTGGGGAAAGTGGCAAGACTGGGGGTGAGGAAGACAGTGGGTGGCAATCCTGGTGGCAAAGCACGGCATCATGCCCCTTCCCAGAGGCCCAGCCCTCGAAGCCTTGCTGTTCTTCACAAACCAAAGGAGCTTTGTGCAGGCTGTTCCGGGGGTCATCACTAGGGGTCTGAACAGAAGGAACCCATGGGCACCCGACGGCGAAGGCCGCCTTCTGGACAAAGGCCACTGTGCTCAAGCCCTCCTAGGAAGGCACAGCTCAGAACGCTGTTCTCAGCGCCGTGGCCATTCTGCATGTGGTTCTCGAATCGTATTTCTAAGACCTTGTCCTGCTCAGAAATGCAGTTAGCACGCTAGAGTATTAGCCACCATCCTGGTGGTGCTGGTGGCTGTTGAAATCTGGCCACCGTATCAGAAGATACCGATCATTGGTGCTGGAAATTAGCAAAGCCTCGGGGCTGAGGGAACTAAGCCAGCGCCTCTCACGGTTCTGGGAAACCCAACTGCTAGCCCGGCCCTCACTTCCCTCCGAACTCTCTGTGTTTCAGGAATTCCATGGTTGAGGAGCACGGTTGCTACCTTGGGAAGACTGGGGATAACCATGGCCTTTGAAATTGTCTACTTGGTGAATTCAGAATTGTACCCAACAACACTACGGTAATTCCAACCTCCATGTTATGGTTTCTCCTAAGTAACTGCGGCCGAGTGTTTGAGGTTGACTTAAAATCCATGAAATAGTTGTCTTAGCTTGATGACATACTCCCTTGGGCCAGATTCGGCCGTCAGGATGACCTGCTCTGAGTCAGCGGCTTCTGCAATGGTGTCCTCCATGCCTCGGGGTAGAAGTCGTTCCCGTATCCGTACCTTCTCACACAGCCATGCTTTCTGGACAGGCACTGGGCTCGGGATCAGAACACCTGGCTAGTGCACCTGCTGCCATGCGGGCTAATCGTCCTAGCCTGCGTCACCTGGTTAAAGGCTACAGCCTCTGAGCCCCCCACGTTCCGTAGCTGGTCGCTGTGAGCAGCCAGTTACTGCCGGACAAAGCAGCGGTGCGCAGGTCCCGTGCAAATTAGCCTCCTTTCCTGGAGGAATGTTCGTGGCACAGCTGACTGTCCGGCTAGGGTGCCAAGGTGGCACTTAAGTGTCACAGAGCTGGCAGGGCGGCGAGTGAGCCGCTGATGGAAGACTGCCTCCCGCCAGCCCAGCAGGCTCTGCAGCCTCGGCCGCTCGGCGCCTGCCCAGATGTGCGCGAGAGTAGTCAGCTTCAAGGCTCAGAACACAGAACTGGAAAATACGGTCACAAGTGCTTTGTTACTTACACATCTGAACGATTTTTTTATCTACAGAAACTTTGGAGTTTCACTCTGCTCCGGTTTATGTGACTTTGGGGGGATCATAGCCCCGTTTCTGCTCTTCCGACTGGCAGCCGTTTGGCTGGAACTGCCGCTTATCATTTTTGGTAAGAACTCATTTGACATACTGCTCTGAAGTGCGTCCATCCACGTTCTCTGCACTGTTAGGTTCTGTATTCATGGCAGGCGCTGAGCATTTTTATCACAATTGCTTGGTTTGAGAAGCCGACCTGATTACGATGAAATGGGACACCGTTTCTTTGCTTAGGTTCTGAGTTAAAATCAAATGCCACAAAACTCTTTTATGATATTGGGAATAATTAAAGGCCAGTCATTTTCATGACGCTGAATTAGGCCTTCAGTCTGTTTCAGAGAAGCCTGGAAACCAATGATAGTATTAAGTGTTCTGTATCTATCAACATCATATCTTCATTTGCTCTGAGCTACCATGCTGAAAGAGCAGAGGGCACAGACCCCTCACAATCTAGCACAGCCTCTTTGGTGCCTCCCAATTCACCCCCTTATTCCTCCCCCCATTCTTCATGGAACCCATGAAGGGATTGAATCCCAGGTCAGCAGGGACCTCAAAGTAATGCATCCAGTGCTTCTCAAGGTCCATCCCAGCCTTTCTGCTGGGAGCTCACAGCCCCCTCATCTCCTCAGCAAGAAGGACACAAGTTGGCTCCAACCCCACCTAACTTTCCTCCATCTCTCCCATTTTCATTCATCACTCAGTTTAAATTGCAGTGAAAATATTGAATCCATGAGGACATACCTGCTGAGTGATGCAAAAGCCCTAACAGTGCTGGGAACAGTTGAGTCATCTTCCCACCCTTTGACCCCAGTGAAATCAGTACAAGAATATTCCAAATGATTTCATGGGATCTGATCATGCAGCTCAGTGCTGAGTCTAGCCAGCACGAAAAAGCAAAGAGAGTGCCATCGTTCACCCCAGATGGAGTGGTCTTGGAGCCCTGCATTCAGGAGAGGGGTCTGGGCTGCAGTGACTGCTGGGTGAGCTGGTGCTGGAGTGCAGGCCCTGCCTTCACAGAGAGCCAGTTGTCAAACCAGGTGCTGCTAAAAATTAAGGTGTACACAATACACGAAAAACAGATAACAGGTCCTCCAACCTCAGCGGTTCCTAATTTATTTGCATTTACCATTATGTGCCATCTCTCTCGACCTGCTGGCGGTCAGCACAACACAGTGAACTACAAGCACATGCTGGTAGGAGTGAGGGGGAGCACAGCAAGAGAGCAAAATGCTCCAGATCTCTGGATGCATTCTAATTTATTTGCAGAGTGGTTCCCCAGGTTACATGTTGATTTAGGTAAATTATTTCCTTGAGATGGTGCCTCTGCTCACCATACAGCCAAGCCCTGTCTCTCACTTTTTATGGAAAAGAGACATCAAAGATTAAAAAAATAGTAACAAATCCATTCTCGCCTGGGCTTCCACGCCCATTATCCTCTCGGGGTGCTCCGCCAACCCTTTGTCATGCAAACCTTATCTATTCACATGTAAACAAAACATTCAGTTCCAAACAGGGAAGTCTTCCTGCCCTCCAGGCGAACCTGTCTGTCCACACACACTTTGATCCTAGGCTGGCCAGGTCACGAGAATGCATATCACAAGGTTACATTTTGTTTATCCACCAAACCCCCATCCTTACAATTATCTGTGTTCCTGAGGTTTTTTTGTTTTTGTGTCATTGTGGTGGAAATCCTCCAGAGCAGTGTACTACTGCACCTCTCTTGCCAGCACTGAATTCAGTGGTGTCTCATCGGTAGTTTGAAATGTCTGTGGGGGTAGTATTTACACCATGGAAATTGGCAGACACTATACACCAGGGCTTTTTTTTCTGAAGAGTTGGTTGGTAGACATTTGCCAGCACACGATAAGGGTAAGATATATAGAAAAATGGGAGAGGGTAGTGTTTCAGGAATTTTGACTCTGAAGAAGAGAAAGGGAGGATGGCAAATGGGGATAATGTGAGGTTGATAGAAGGGTCCTGAAAGATGAAAGGGTTGAGTCTGTTTCAGTGCTGCCAACAAGAGGCTAAAGGTACTGGAGAGAGGGTTACCCATTAGAGTGGGGGGCCTAAAAACAACTCCAAGAGACTCCAAGGGACGAGGCCTGCGGTGGTACATGGCGGAAGGAAGAGAGGGAGGGAGAGGAAACAGTGACCTTCTAGTGTAGATAAAGGGATGCTTACGGGACTTCTCTCTGGCAGCTTTGATTTGCTCATTACTAGGAGATGAGGTCTTCTCTCTGAGTGCTGGACATGTAGGCACTTGATACACAGTGGAGGCTGGTGACCACAGCTGCTTCCTGAGTGAGCTGCAGGGGTGAGGGGCCGGCCGTGTGTTTCTAGTGAGTGACGCCTTTCTCTGTCCGCAGGTATCCTGGCATCTGTCTGTGGTGGCCTCGTGATGCTTTTGCCTGAAACCAAGGGTATCGCCTTGCCGGAGACAGTGGATGATGTAGAAAAGCTTGGCAGGTAGCGTATAAAATTCAGCACGTCCGTAATAACAGCAGCATTCCAAGCTACTGGGGACAGATGGTGCTGAGAAAACCGAATTATGGCGGGCAAATAATATATAACCCCCGCCTCACATCCTAAGCAAAACTCAAAGTAGCTATTGAAGGTTCATGTAAAAGAAAAATAAAAGCTGTAAGAGAATATGTATTATTTTTAAAAGGTGGTTTTGAAGAGGGGACCATTTCTAAGTCAGGTGTTGAAACTCAGAAGCAATCTGAAGGAACAGGATGGATGATTTGACAGAGGAGAAATGACTTAAATGTGCACCAGGAGACGATTGTAAAAATAGTATGTTCACGATATGGATTACTATACAGAGATTAAAAGAATTAAGTCATATCTATATGGAATGACATGGGAAGATTTTCAAAACTTTTTACAAAGTAAAAAGGCAGTGAACAATGCGTTGTAGTGTTTATTTTAAAATAAAACCAATAGAAATTTCTCTCTGTAGCTAGATGGGAAGATAGATGAGATAGATAGATGATAGGCAGATAGATTGATGAGATAGATAGATAGATAGATAGATGATTGATAGATAGATAGATAGATAGATAGATGATTGATAGATAGATAGATAGATAGATAGATAGAGTAAGGGTACTAGAAAAATCAGGGGGAACACTAGAAATATCAGTATATGATTGTCTAACCACTAGGCTGTATACCGGAAACTAATTAATAATAACATTGAATGTAAACTATAATTAAAAAATAGCCCTGGCCAGTCTGGCTTAGTGGTTGGATCATTAGCCCGTGGACCAACGAATCGCAGGTTCAGTTTTGGTCATATACCTCAGTTGCAGTTCGATTCCTAGCCCTGGTCAGGGTGTGCAGGAGGCAACCAATCAGTGTGTCTCTCTCATCTCTCTCTCTCTCTCTCTCTCTCTCTCTCTCTCTCTCTCTCTCTTTTGCTCTCTCTCCCTCCCTCCCACTCTATCTGAAGATAAATGGAAAAATATCCTCGGGTGAGGATTTAAAATATAAATAAATAAAATAATTTTATTAATTTTTTAAAAACCAAGTAAGGGGCCCTGGCCGGTTTGGCTCAGAGGTTAGAGCGTCGGCCTGCGGTCCCAAGAGACCCGGGTTCGGTTCCCGCTAAGGGCACGTACCTCGGTTGCAGTTTGTCCCCGGCCCTGGTTGGTCGTGCAGGTGGCAGCCACTCGATGTGTCCCTTTCACATCGATGTTTCTCTCTCTCTCTCTCTCTTCCTCTCTCTCCCTCCCACTCTATCTGTACAAAAAATGGAAAAATGTCCTCAAGTGAGGATAAAAAAAAAACAAGTAAGGGAATGAGAGAGAAAGATTTAGTTCTGGAGAAGTGTGTCTAAATGGTGCACAGGAATAGTTACTACCCAACCCATATATAAACGTGAACTATATTTGTGTTATACTAACAAAATTTCACATTGCACAAACTCTAATTTTCTCCATTTGAAATCATTCATAATAAAAAGTCAGGAAGAGAGGTTATGAATATGAGAGTATATAGGAAAATATCTAAAATTACATATATATATATATATATATATATATATATATATATATATATCTCCTCCGGAGATAGAAACATAGAAACAGGTTGGAAAGTGGGTGCAGAAGGGAAAGTGTCCCTATTCTACTCTAGAGACTTCTGTGCTGGTGGATTAAAAAAAAAAAATTGCAACACATTGCCTTGTATTATTTGTGTAATTTTTAAAAGTAACTTAGCAGCTTATTTTTAAAATAAAAATCATTCTTCTTCTAAATAATGACCTGGATATTAGGGGTATGACTCTCTACATTTTAAACAAATGTATCCAAAATATTATACAAAGTCTGAAATGCTAGTAACACTTGCAGTTTGTTCTCCACTTGTATGTGGGAAGAGAGTAGACATACTTTTTTAGATACCAATGGGACTGATGGTTTCACATATGTCATTTTATTCAACACACGATTTGGGGCAGGAGGAGTTCTCAGCCTCACTCTTTTCTCTACCAGGAAATCTAGCTCAGAAAGTTCCCTAACTTCTCCGTAGTAGGACTGGGGTTCATCCTCTCCGGTGCTCAGCTGAGCCTCCGTCGTTTTCTGTCGTTTTATTATTTCATGCTGTATTCTACTTCATTATGAATTTTTAAAAACAGCAAGTCTCTCTTTATACCCTCTTTTAATGAGGTACTATCCCCCTCCCCAAGGGAGCAACCACAGCTGACTGTCTCGTGAGTATTTTACCAGACCCACGGAACGTAGGCAGTGATTTCCTTGTCCTGATTCTTGATGCTGTTTTGAGAAACAAGGTTGAGGAATCATCCCAGAACATCCCTAAGAAAGGCCCACTCCGAGCCGCAGCCGCAGCCCCAGCCCAGTGGCTGACCCCTAACAGGAGTGGCCAATGCGAGCCAGGTGGACGTCTGTCCTGTCTGCGAGTGAAGGTGGTGGCTCTTTCCTCACCCAAAGCTCTACCTACAGTTCACTCTGGACCGGTGCTACCGGGAATTTGGGGGGAGGTGGGAGAGTGTCCATAAGCCCTGCCATTTTGTAAACTCAAGTTGGGAGAAGACATTGTAAAAGGTATTGAAGCGGGGTGAAGCCCTCTTGAGCACCACACACACCATGGTAAGGTGTTGCTTCATCCAGAAAGTAGAAACGCAATTCTGTCACAATTTCTTGGTTCCATCGGGGGGCTGCGGCCAGGTCAGGGGAAGGGGTGTCCAGCCTGGCACCCCAGTCACAGCAGTGCTAGGAAATCAGGAGAAAGGAGAAAGTTCAAGCTGAAATGAAGCGGGGGCCAGGGTGAGAACGGAAATCGGACATCTTCCAATGCCATCTTCAGAGTTACGGTAACTTGCTCCGAGGACCTGTTTCGGGGCCGGGATACCCAGCCCTGCCGGGATTCGGGGTCACTGCTGGCGGCACAGAGCTGCATGTCGTTAGGGCTCCTGTTCCCACCGAAGTCTGGGTGCGGGTTCCTCCCCCATCACGTCTTGGTGCCAATGTTCTGAGGGCAGAGCAGTTTTCTAGTTGATTCTGCTCCATTTTCTGCTGCGCGTTGACATAGTGAGAGTGATACACTCATTCATGACCGCAGAGCAGTCAGGGGGCAGAGTGTCAAACTCCTCAAGGAGGAATGGAGGATGCCAGGCGATTTAAGGTCAGGACTCGCCTACCAACTGAGTCATTAAAATTAGAGTGAACCCCTTGGGAGAGGCGGCGTTTGGGGGAGGAGAGGGACATCTCTGTCCCTGGTGGGCAGGGAGAATTAACATGCAAACACTATCGTAACAGGAAGAAGTGGACCAACAGAGATTCAAGTCAAATTGTTGCTAACTTTTTCTATTTGTAACTTTTCATAATAAAAATTTTGATAAAATTAATTATGCCTAGTCTCTCTCTTGGGGAAAAAAATCTGGTAAAAGTAGGATTTATAGTTTCATAAGTTAAGCACTTTAACTGCATCCCATAGCTGTTTACTCTGGGCAAAAACCTGCTTTGCCCCAAATTATGGAACCCTGATAGCATTTTCCTTCTGAAACTGCACTTATCCGTTAGATCAGTTGTGCTGTTCTCTTGTTCACATCGTCAACCCCTTCCCAAAGCGTCTGCGACTCGGCAGAACTTCATAAAGGACGTACATGCTGTACGAGGGCTGGAAGCAGGTAAGAAAGCAGCCTGGAGGTGGGTATTTTGTCACCTCTGAGCTGGGTTTTTAGGAGAAGTCGTGCATGAATACTGATCAAAACCAACTGTGATGCTCAGTGAGGCGCTAGAAGACTTGCTCCCAACTGGTCTTGAATCTGTAGTAAGGACTTTCTCTTTTTCCCTTTTCTTTCTTAGTCCACTTTCCTATAAATGCTGCAGGAGAAAGAAGTCCCCCGTTTCCAGCCCTCACCTCTGAGGCCCCGCCGCAGACCCCAGGAAGGAGCCGCTGGCCCACCCCGGGAGCCGCCGCGCCCTGCAGACCGGGGTCTGCCCCGCGGCACCGCGCTGTGTGGCTCCAGCGATCTTAATTCTTTGCAAAGACATTCTAACTCTCCAGAGTATTTTTATATAACGTTGGAGAAGGCCTCTGACCCAGCAGTTACAGAGACCAGAGAAGCCGGCTCCATCAGCAGTGCAGGAGGAGCAAACCAGGGATCTGGGAGAAGCGGACAGAAATGGGGTCATCAGTTCTGATCGAGGAGCCAAGGCTTTGGGACAAGTGTTCTGAAGACTCCCGGGAGGACGAAGATTTGGGGGTTCTACAATGAAGACGCTGCGACACACGGACTGAGCCTTGAGCTCCGGGAGCCCCGGTAGCATCGGGGTTGTGGACGTGTTCAGACCTCATTTCGCAAATAAGCACAAATCTGCAGTGTGACCTGAGGAATCAGCTCTGCTATTTATAAAGTCAGGGTGGGTGCTGAGCTGACTTGGGCTGGTTCTGGTCCTCGGTGGTGGACACCTAAGGGCACATACTCTTTACTGAACAAAACCCATGGACTATGATTTCATGGGTCGTAAGATTTTAAGCATAAAGGGATATTTATCTTATACTTGTGAATTCAGTCCTATGGCGGTGCCCCCGGTCAAGAGAGAAAATTATGGAGAGTTCTCATTCAATCTTGACCGTTTCACTTGCTTGGGGAAGTAGCTTCCATTTTAATTGAAAGGAAAGGTCAACTATAGCCAAGCTTAGAACAATTAGCAGAAACTTTTTAAGTGACTTCATAGACATTAATAAGGTATCTGATGTTCCTTTTTTGTTACTGAGACATTTGAAATATGGAGCTTAAATAAAACACGGGCTCTCTTTTTCTGATCTTGTACATGTCTTACGTGGTATATTTTCAGATTCACTGTATACTTTATGCAGAGTCTTTTAATGAATTGTTTTGTGTGGACACCAAAGGAAAACCTGGCCAATAGGAAGGAAACCTCTCTGAGCACCTGTGCGCACGGTGTGTGCCGGTTGAACATGCTCCAGTCCCTGGAGCTGGTCCGAAGGGAGGGTGAGGCTCCTGTTTCCTGACGAAACGAGCCCAGCGCCTTGAGCCTGCGGTGCTGTGTTCTCCCTTCACCCATGTGCTTTCTTGGCATTTCCTTGCTGTAGGATGGCTGTTGTCCCTTGGCACTATCACCTTGAATTGTATTTGGGTTGATACCTTGGTTCTGATAACAATAAAATTTTAAATCGTCAAGAAAAATGAATGTTTGCCCCTTCTCTTCTTTTCGTTTTATTGTAGTTATTTATTTACTTTAGTTCTCACCTGAGGATATGCGTATTGATTTTAGAGAGAGGAGAAGAGGGAGAGAGAAGAGAGAGAGCGAGATGAGAGAGAACATCCATTGGTTGCCTTCCACCTGTGTCCTGACCGGGGATTGAACTCACCACCTTTCGGAATATGGGGTGACACAAGCCGCACTGGCCAGGGCTGACCCTTCCCTTCCTTTTGAACATGTGACCCTGTGAAACTCTTGCCATGTGGCGGTGTATGCTGTGCACCTGGGGAGCCCGTCAGTGATGGAAATTCCGGGGTCCACCTCCAGTTATGTTCGTTGTCCCTTTCCAGGCTCTGGGCACCATTGCTAAACCCGTATGTGACTCAGAATGACATTCGGACTCTCCGCTGGCTGGTTTATGTCACAGTATACAACTCTCTGTTCACGGTCCCCAGTGCTGGCCTGGAGTCAGACTGCCAGTAACAGAGTCCATCCCCATAACAGACTTGGGTCTTGTGACTCACACACATTGCAGCCTCGAAGACCTTCATCCCCGCGCCGGAAGTAAGGGCGGTGAGGATGCGCGCCCAGCTGTCCTTCTCTGACAAGGTCAGTGTGAGGGGGACTTAATGGGGACTTCTTGATGACCTCACAGGCTTCTTAGTCCTACATGCAACTGTTCCTTCTGAGAAAGAGTGAGCTCTCTCGCCTGTTAAGAGTTACCCGGTCTAACATTGGTAGGATGAGCAAAGAACATGAAAACAATGAAAATCAAACAAATTAAGTCAAAGTAAGTACAGAGTTTATTTTCCACAAATGCCATTGCTGTGTTGCCTTATTATTTGCAGAATCCAGCAGTCCGTGGTCAGGAAGAATTTATCCACAATAATACTAAAAAACATTGAGGTTTGGCAGTAGATGGTAGCTGAGTACAGTGTCTTAGTGGGATTACTGTCGATGATTTCTGAGCATGCTCAACTTCCTACCCACGTTCAGCACCGAGAAACATCGATGCTTCCCTCCAGCTCTCATCCAATTAATTGTTTTTCATTGCACTTTCAATCCAAGAGACAAACTTTGAAACACGGACATAGACACCAGGCTTATTGGGGCGTGCACAGCCAAGACCCCAAGAAGTGACTCCTTGTAAGATGTATTTGTCCTTCTCGAAGCAGACCAGGGGCCCTCCACTGTCACCCTGTACAGAAGGAGGGAAAAGCCAGGTGATGATTAAAGCACCATCCTTGTATTATGGGGAGGTCACCCTTCTGTTTCCCGAGTGTAAGTTTTCTCAGTATCTGCACACCTCTTTCCAGAAGAAAGGAATTCATTAACCTTTTATTTGAACATCTGCTGTGCTTAGCAAAGTGTATTCAACAAATCCCTTGTGAACAGTGCCCTCATCCCTTCCTGCCTTCGGGGTTCTCTTAGCGGAGTCACCCCAGGAACCGCTGAGGAGAAGTAGCTATCCTCTGTGCTGCACCCCCTCCCGAGGTCCTGCTGGGAAGGCCACCCCAAGTCCCATCCAGCAGGACTCCCGGAAAGCGAGCTGTGACAGGGACGGCACCTGACCACTCCCTTCCGGCCCATCTAGGACTCCAGGTCCGCAGGGTCATTTGAGATGATCGGCATCAGCATTGAGGACAGACCTGAAGGGTTTCTGGGTGACACTCAGACTGTGGCCTGGGGTTGGCAGATCCTTCCCGAATTTGCTGCTTTGGGTGTAAGGGGCCAAGACAGGCCAGCACGGGAGTGACGATCTCTAGTCCCTTCCTACCTGGCAACTGTCAGCGCCTCCGGTCAGGAGCCCGGCGCAGAGCTCGGTGGGCTTGACTCTCCCGTTCAGGTACTCGAAGCGATTGCACACCTTGTTCTCGATCACCGGCAGCTGCGCCTCCTTGAGGAGGCCAGCACCGAAGGTGCCTGTGTCGGAAAAGGTGACAGGAGCAGTTACTGAACCCGAAACGTGCTCACAAGGAAAATCCAGACTGCAGGGTGGCAAGGACGGTTCCCGTTGGCCCCAGAGACTGGATGAGTCGGTTCCTGATACTACTTAACTCCTGTTGACGCTGGAGAATATAAACATTGCTTAAGATTTCATGGTCCCAAGTCCTGGATTTAGTGATCCGGTCTTCTTTAGGGGTTTGTGTTATTTTTCATTTGTTTTCTCTCTCTCTCTTTCACTATAAAGACTTAATTTTTTTTTTTTTTTGTAAAGAGAGATTGAGAAACATAACTGCTACTATTTGTATGTAATCTCTTTCAGACTTTTTTTTTTGCTACTTAGATTGCACAATTTTATACCCTGATTTTTTCACATTGTATCATAATGACTTTGCTATAATGTTGCAATCTTCATAATTGTCAATTTAAGGGGAAGTGAGTGCTTAATGGGTATGGAGTTCCTCTCCAGGGTGGGGGAAGTGTTTTGGGAACAGTAGTGTTGGTTGCACAACATTGCAAATGTGCAAAAAGCCAGGGAGTGTGCTCTTCAAAATAGTTAAAATAGTAAATGTTACGTGTTTTACCGCAGCATTTAGAAAAGAAAGCTATCATTCCCTGAGAATGAACTTTTCAGGCCCAGGCGCACTCGGTGACATATCGTGTCCGACCCTCCAGCAGTGCTCCAGGAGGGGCGTGGCCGCTCGTCACTCCTGTTGTCCAGTTAAGGAAACGGAGGCTTCGGGTGTGTAGTTCGCCCAAGACCTTCTGGCAAGTGAGCAGAGAAGCTGGGATTCGAACCTGGTTTTGTGGCATTGTCGTCCACATTCTTTACTACCATGATCATTGGCCAATGTTTTTTCCGATGTTCTACATGTATGTTCACATGGTTTATTCATGTTGCTTAATATTTTCATTTGTAGTATAAAAAATTTAAAAAAATTTTTTTTTCTTTATTGATGTTTAGAAAGAGAGAGAGAGAAACATCAATGAGAGAGAGCATTGATTGACTGCCTCCTACATGCCCCCCACTGGGAATTAGGCCCACAACCTGGGTGTGTGCCCTGACTGGGAATCGAACCAGTGACCTCTTGGTGCATGGGTCGACACTCAACCACTGAGCCACACCGGCTGGGCTGTAGTATAAAACAATTTTTTATTACCATGGTTAAAAATATTTTCACTGAGCCCTAGCCAGTTTGGCTTAACAGTTAGAGCGTCAACCGACAGACCAAAGAGTCACGGGTTTGATTCTAGTCAAGTGCATGTACCTCAGCGGCGGTTTGGTCCCGGCCCAGGGTGGGGTCATGCGGGAGGCAACCAATTGATGTCTCTCTCTCTCTCTCTCTCTCTCCCCCCCTCGCTCCCTCCCTCCCTTCTTCCCTCCCTTCCTTCCTTCCTTCCTCTCTCTCCCTCCTACTCTATCTAAAGATAAATGGAAAAATATCCTTAGGTAAGGATTAAAAAAATATTTTTTTCACTGAAATTTGCATGTTCAAAGGCCCATTATCACAGCTATCACAGATTGTGAACTTTTGGAAAGCAAGAACTGAGTTTCTTTATCCCTAGAACTTAATATGTTCTTAAGTGCAAATTCCCAGAAATTACAGACATATTTATAGCTCCCCAAACATCGGCCAAACTATGTTCTCACAGGGCCTGACTGTAAAATATCACTAAAGAAAATGTCACTGCACCGCATCCTGATGGGTATTTAATATTTTTAAAATCTTTGCTAATAGGTGGAAACTGTCTTAGCCCGTTTTCTAATTTATATTCCTTTTATAAGCAGGGAGAGGAAACATTCTCTTGTGTGCCTATTTTACTCATTCTATTTCTTTTTTGGTGAAAAACTGTTTTTTTTTCCTTATGTTGGAAATAGAGCACTGGCAAATCGCCAGAGAAAAGTGTGGGTTTTCCAAATGGACTCACTGGGTGTGCCCCACAAATCGTCCAGTGTCCGTGTCGCCAGCCCAGCTGTCGCCCGTTCTGCAAGAATGTTGCCTTGCAAGCATGGAACGACCAACAGGTGAGGCGCTGTCTCTTCTCCAAAGACCTCGAGTAACTTGGGTGATTGTCTGGAGTTCAGCACACGTGCACTTGATTTGGAGGTGATGGCACTGAACATGACTGCCACTTGGGGGGCAGAGGCTTGTCCCAGCCAGGCCCCTGCAGCGGAGGGCCTGACCTCAGCAGTGATGAGCGGGGGATCACCTGAATGGAGTAGATGTGTGGAGGGAGCAGCCTTCTCAAAAATCAGTTCTCTCGCCTTGGCCGGTTTGGCTCAGTGGTTAGAGCATCAGCCTGCGGACCAAAGAGTCCCGGGTTCGATTCCAGCCAAGGGCACCTACCTTGGTTGCAGTTCATCCCCAGCCCTGGTTGGGATCGTGCGGAAGGCAACTAATCCATGTGTATCTCTCACATCGATGTTTCTCTCTCTCTCTCTCTCTCTTTCCCGCTTCCACTCTGTCTGAAGATAAATGTAAAAATATCCTCAGGTGAGGATTAAAAAAATAAATTAAAAACAAACAAACAACAACAAAAACAAATAGACCCCAAATTAAAAAAAAAAAAAAATCAATTCAGTCAAGTGCCCTGCTCCTGCATCTGCTTTCTGAGCCTGGCAGATGTGCTGAAGGAAGTTGATGTGCTCTGTGCGGACATGCTGCCATCCTGTGGCCAGAGTGAGAATGGCATCTCGGGGCCAGAAGTGACTGGGAGCAGAAGCCCTAGTGGGGCCTTGGAGAGGGGAAGCAGGGCCCCTCAGAGCACTTTGTGATTGCTGATGAAGGGCTGATGGGAATAGGCCCCTCGGCCTCAACACAGGTCTGCCTTGCTCTGGAATATCAAAATCCCAGGAAGTCTGGAGACTGAAGGGGAGAGCGGGAGAATTCTGACCTCGCACCAAGAGGCTGAGACAACTGATTGGTCTGAGGTCATTGTTGACATACAGGAAATTGATCAACATCCTGACTCATGTTTGGTGACTCCTCCTGGTCTAGTGACTCTACTGAGAATCATTTTCTCAGTAGATCTGCCAGTGAGGGAGGCCAGGAGAGACGGGGGAGTCCAGGGCAGGACGGTCTGTGGAAGAGAGTGGGTGCTGGGTGGGACAGACAAACAGCGAGTGGGCTGGGGTGTCGGGTGAGCCTGGGTTCCATCAGGGCTCAGCCACACACGGCTCTGTAATGGTTATTGGTGACGGTGAGTGTGATGATGCTGATGATTGTAGTGATGGAGGTGATGCTAGGAGGTGATGCTAGGAGGGCTAGGAGGTGATGCCAGGATAATGGTGGTGGCGATGTTGACGATGGTCATGGTGGTGATGATGGTGATGCTGATGGTTGCGGTGGTGATGGTGGGGGTTGTATAAGCACAGGAGCTGCTGAATACCATCTCCGAAGCACTGAGCACGCCATATGCATTGTCCCAATGCTCACAATGACTTTATAAGATGGTACCGCTGAGGACACAGGCTCAGAGAGATTAAATAACTTCCTGATAGCACATGGATGAAGGTGGACCCAGAACGCACATTCAGACCCACACGATTTTAGTCCCTGCTCTATTCAGCCAGCAGGCTCTGCAGCTCACTAAAACGTTCTTTTTCTTCTTTTTCTTGCTTAATCCAATTTGCATTGGATTACTGATTCTTGCTAGAGAGAGTCACGTGGGAATGACTGTACTCCCTGGCATTAGCAAGACATAGCTGTGCCCAGTGCTTCATCCGCACCTGCTCGTTGGTTCCCCTACAGGGGTCCTGCAGCCCATTTTCCAGTTGAGGAAACAAGTTCAAAAAGAGTCTGTGACTTTCCTAAGTACGTGAAGCTGACCAGTGGGAGCCAGGGTCCCGACTCGGGTCTGTCTGCCTCATTGACCATCCAACCACCCTGCTCCTCCTTGGAGCCTCGGGGCCTTCATTTGAACTCACAGGGATTTGTGGCATCTACTTTTTTTTTTAAATGCAAAGTGTGGACCCGCTTGGCACATCCATAGCGACATTTCATTGGCCAACTTTACCTTTACTTCTCAATGTTCACAGGCTCCAAGGGCAGAAAGGGGGCCCGAGGGTCACCCAGGAGGTGAGGTTGGAGGACGGCAGGGCAAGTGCAGAGAGGAGGACATGTTTGAAGTGCCCGAGACCGGGAGTTTTCACCCTGTTCTGGAGCTGCGTCCCCTTCCTTCACACGAGCGTGTGCAAAAGGCTGACGGGGACAACGCTGTTTGGAAACGCATCTGACGGAGGAGGGCTTAGATGCCAAGTGGTACAGGGGAAAGGGGACTTGTCCGTTTGCCCAGCGAGAGGCAGAGCCGGAACTGTATTCCGGGACTCTTGGCTCATCTACACTGCTGAGAAACAGACAGACACCTGAGTCTCACCTGTTCCGGGCCTGAGTCTGATGATCGGGATTATTATCAGGGCATATACGGCGAGGAGACAGGGCCCCAGTGCGGGATGTGGTCATTATCAGGGCATATACTGCGAGGACACAGGGCCCCAGTGCGGGATGTGGTCATTATCAGGGCATATACTGCGAGGAGACAGGGCCCCAGTGCAGGCTGTGGTCATTATCAGGGCATATACTGCGAGGACACAGGGCCCCAGTGCGGGATGTGGTCATTATCAGGGCATATACTGCGAGGAGACAGAGCCCCCAGTGTGGGATGTGGTCATTATCAGGGCATATACTGCGAGGAGACAGAGCCCCCAGTGTGGGATGTGGTCATTATCAGGGCATATACTGTGAGGAGACAGGCCCCCAGTGTGGGATGTGGTCATTATCCGGGCATATACTGCGAGGACACAGGCCCCAGTGCGGGATGTGGTCATTATCAGGGCATATACTGCGAGGAGACAGGGCCCCAGGGTAGGACAGGTGCTAATACAGGACCCTACATAAGCATTTCTCTTCTCACCCTCACTCCATCAACCAACATCAAATATCTAGTGGAACTTTGACCTTTTCTTTTTCCCAGCGGTCTGCCCTACCCCCAACCCATTCTCAGTCTGTCCTACCCCCAACCCACTGTCAGTCTGTCCTATCCCCAACCCACTGTCAGCCTGTCCTACCCCCAACCCACTGTCAGTCTGTCCTACCCCCAACCCACTGTCAGCCTGTCCTACCCCCAACCCACTGTCAGCCTGTCCTACCCCCAACCCACTGTCAGTCTGTCCGACCCCCAACCCACTGTCAGTCTGTCCTACCCCCAACCCACTGTCAGCCTGTCCTACCCCCAACCCACTGTCAGTCTGTCCTACCCCCAACCCATTGTCAGCCTGTCCTACCCCCAACCCACTGTCAGTCTGTCCTACCCCCAACCCACTGTCAGCCTGTCCTACCCCCAACCCACTGTCAGTCTGTCCTACCCCCAACCCACTGTCAGCCTGTCCTACCCCCAACCCACTGTCAGTCTGTCCTACCCCCAACCCATTGTCAGCCTGTCCTACCCCCAACCCACTGTCAGTCTGTCCTACCCCCAACCCACTGTCAGCCTGTCCTACCCCCAACCCACTGTCAGTCTGTCCGACCCCCAACCCACTGTCAGTCTGTCCTACCCCCAACCCATTATCAGTCTGTCCTACCCCTGACAGTCTCTCCACACCTACATCAGACACGTAGGGTATTTGGGGAGATGAGTTGCAGTATAATTCTAGTTGTCACACACCTTGCTTGGGAGCTCAGTATGGATAACTTCACATGGACAACAATCTAACATCCTTCATTTATAGGCTTGTGTCAAACCCGACTTACCTGGGGATGCAATGGCAACCCAGAAGGTGTGGGCTGAGAAAGAGACCCAAAGAAACTCCCCTCCCCTGGCCCACGTCCTGGGTGAGACACAAGCAGGTGCCCAGACAAAGTCAGGAAGGGAGGGGACCTTCCAAATGCTCATTTTCTCATGTAGGCTGTAGGTCAAAGCGAATTCATTAACTGAGTCACAGAATCTGTCTCACCTTGGGTTTCGCCCCAGCCAGTGATGTAGCACACGGTCCGGTCCGCGACCACGTAATTTGGGGATGGCAGACAAGCCGGGATGACCTTGTCAGTGATGATGGCAGGGCTGCAAGGACATCAAGCGTGACATCTGACTGCCTGTGAGGAGGCGCCTGCATCCCTCAGTCGGGCACCCACCACAAGATGCCACCCGCTCCAAAGCCCAGAGCCCTTCAAGCTGGCACTGCCTCACACTGGCACAGTACCACATACACAGCTTTTCACCCTCACGTTCGTTGGTGGGATCTTATGAGCTAAACAAATGGAACGTTTTGTTAAAAAGGCGCCCGCTGTGGACGGGAAACCAGACGTGGCGGTAGGGACAAGAGACTGGCTTTCCCATCACCCTATGTGCTCCCGCAGCTCCGCACGAGGGCTGCTCTCAAGGACGTAACGAGGCGTCCACCGCGGTGGCCCAGCCCGCGGAAAGGCTGCCTCAGGCGTTCGTGCAGCAAATACGTCCTGTGACCGTGAGCAGGTCGCCCATCTTTGGGTCCTCAGTTTCCTCATCTGACTGTTTCAACACCATGGTGATCGGAATCCAATCAAATGCTTGCTACCAAGTGAAAGAGGATGGGAACGATTTGCATCAGCGTGCCATCGAGGCCCAGGGCGTCTTAAACATTAGGACTCTCGTTTTCAGACCTGGTTGTGTTTTAGCAAGTTCAAGAGGAAAACAGACTGGAGAAGAGAAATGCCCTCATCCAACTAAAAACCATCACGGCCGCCAACTTCACAGCAGACACATCCTCTTGGAGTCACCAGAATAGATCCAGCCTCTGACATGGGGTGACCCACAGACGTCACTCTACAGGCCCCCCTCGTGAAACACCAGTGTTTTAGACTCTTGGGGTGCGCAGGCCTGGAGCAGGTAAACATACCAGTCTAAAGCTCAAACGTACCAGTCTAGCAGAGAACACTCTCAGAACCCCAAATCTGAAGTCACCTGTTCAAGCTACCAGCACCCCCCCATGGCCCTCGGGGACCCTGGGAAAGGAGGGGTACCGAGCTCCTTTTTTAGGCTAAGCCAAGAAGGCCTTTCGTTCCTTCTGAGAGAGTCCAAACATTCCCCCGAAGACAGTCCTCATTACTGCCGCAGAGCACCCGTGAAGTCGTCTGACCAGGCCAGACCTGGCCCATCGCCCCGTCCCCTGGAACCCATCAGACGTGGCTGATGTGCTCGGAGTGCGTTGGTGACCGTCCCAAACCAGCCTGCTCTCAAAAGAGCTGCCTGTTTACTTAGCGTTTACACTGGGACCAGCTTCCGGCCACCTGCTGACTTAGTGGCGGAGCACACGTGTCCCCTGGTCAGGCTCAACGTGAAAGCATCACTTAGCAGGACAGGGAAAGGCGGAGCTAGGAAGAAGAATGTGTCTCTGCGACTTATGGTCTTTGGGGGCTTTGACACACAGAGTCTCCCTCCGTGGCCCCAAACACTGTCACACGGAGGGGAGGCTTGTCAGCCGGGCTGCTTGAGTGATTCTCTGATTGGGGATGTGTGTTAGCTGACACTGAAGTCCAGGGAGAGACTTTTAGGGGGAACCGTGTACCTCATGTTTTCGTTCACTCTTTTCCCACCTGAGGAAACAGTCCTGGTGCTTCTGTCAGGACCCCACAGCCAGCGTGCGGCAGAACGGGGTGGGGGCTTCTCACCTGGCCATCCCTGCTCTTCCCCAAAGGTCCCCGACAGCCCCCACAGCGCTGTTAGGGCTCGTGAAAGCCAGGCAGAAGCCGCAGTGGGCACTCGGGGGGCGTGCACGGGGGCACGGGTACCTGCTCAGCTTCAGCAGCGCGATATCCTCCCGGGTGGGCTCCAGCAGTATCTTTGCCACTTCTATCTCCTGAATATCTGGTTCCAGGTTCCTTTCTCGGTGAGCACCCAGGATGACCTTGTATGACGACGGCCTTGAGGACCTAGAAAAGATGGTGGCATTTGCAGCAAGTCACAGGCCAGCTCTTCATGGGGTGTCCTTCGGAGCCATCCACCCAGACACCTGGCTCTCCAGTCTCCTCTGAGTGCAAGAAAGAAGGACCTGACGGACTGAGCCTGGCCATTGGGGAGTGTCCTCGGGCACACTGTGGGCAATAAAACCAGCACTGAAGTCAGCGCTTGTCAGGGGGACCGGGGGCCGAGGCCCATGGCCAGGTGTGACTCTCTCCAGCTACCATCCCCCCTGAGCTGGGTCTTTCTTCTTTGTTTCCCTCTGAGAATGCTCCAGTCCTCTCCCATTCAATGGCCCCGGCAACTCTGCCTCGGGCTTGTCCACTCCCTGGCCCCTAGCATCACTGCCGTAGGAGAAAGGACGGGGGGGGGGGCGGGGAGGGGCACAGGAAAGGACACAGGCAGAAAGTCCCTGGACATACCTCTCCAGGCAGTGGGCTGCAGTCAGCACCCACTCCGGGGCGATCAGGGTGCCTCCGCAGAAATGCATCCTCATTCTAGGAGGAAACGTGGAGAGTTCAGTTCAGATCTGACGATTTGTCTGCAGGAAGCCAGGAAGAGATGTTCCCTCAACTTCGATGATGTTGACATTCCCAAAGGAAAGGCCATGAGCCCGTGGCCAGGATGGTGGGGCTGGGGGCTGGGGGGCTGTGCCTCAGTTGGGGATTTTCCAGCAGGTTCCATCCACAGCACTCGTGAGGGTGGAGGGGGAGGCTCGGGGACAGCCCGTCCACGGGAGAGCAAACCCCGTCACGCGACATGAAGCCTGCCCATGGCTTTGACTGGTCAGGCCTGGGCCTGAACAGAAGGGACCGGGCAAAACCCACCCCCTTTCAGTTTCTTCCTTTCTTCTGGACGAGATCTAGGCAGGACCTGAGGCGTGGTCCTTCAGGCAGTCAGATGGGATCCTGAATAGCTGTGGTTCGCGCGAGTCTGCTGCTTTTCCCGAGAACATCCCTTTCCGGGAGGTGGCTCCTAAATCACTCACTTCATAGGATGTTTAGGCCCATGGCAGCTCGTGCAAGTGGGCTGAGCCGCCCCGGAGCAGGTCAGAATGAGCCGAGCACAAGCCGTAAGGGCGCGGCAGCGGGCAAGTCGGTGGCCAGCCAGGGACAGCCCGCAGCGCAGGCGGGAAAAGGAGGAATTTGAAAGCGGTGGAAGCCGAAGGCTGGCCAGAGAGGAGGAGCCGGCGCCGCAGCAGAGCGAGGCAGGCTGGACTCGACTTTATCGGTGGTGCCTGGAAGGCTGGCAGGTGCCGGCTGGCACCCAAGCGCAGGTCCTGGTGCGGAAATGAGACGAGGAAGCAGAGCACACCAGGAGGTCACTGTGCCTCGCCTGTGCCTTTCGTGAGACACCAGGAGACCTGAGCTCGCGACAGGCAGATGCCGCTAGTGACAACCCCAACCGCCCCGGGTTCTGTCGGATCAGAACCGATCGCTCTTGTTTACGGTGAGCATGAACCACCGACACGAAAGCAGAAGCATAGGAGAATGGGTGGGCTCCCTCTGAATGAAATTCAATAAAATCCGTGTCTGTGATAGACTGTTGGTAACCAGGTCTTCGTTGCTCACCAGGTGTCATCTTTCTAAAACTGCCTTTCTCTTCGCTTTGCGAGGAGACCACGGGTAACTGTATAAACCCTCCAGGTGTCCTCAGGACTTTCCCAGAAGTGCTGGGACTTTTGAATTGTGGCATCTGCACACATGGATGATAGCTGCCCGGATCAAGACAAAGATTTTGGTTCCGGCTATTTTCAAAGCAGAGAACCTAAAAATTTAATTTTTTTATTTTTATAGTTTTCCTTCCTCCCGAGGAGAGAATGCAGGGGCGGGTGCTGAGACCCGAGCTGGGGATTTGGTGCCAATGTCGAAAGGTTTGGCGGGGCTCACGCAGAAGGGTGGGATACATCGTTTCTAGAAAGGCTGTTACCTTGTTCTAAGACTGACTTGCCACGGCCAGGAATGTGCTTTGGCCACACACCCACCTACGACCCTTCCAGGACATTTCTTCGGCTCCACCTTGGGCTTTCCACAATCAAATGACGAGGACACTGTGGCACAGGAAAAAGAGACGCATTGGAAGAAGGGAAAGGTACTGATTCTGTCCTACAACTCAAGATAAATTAGTGGCTCGTGGCCAAAGCACTGACCTTTTGACATCTCAAAGCCCCAACTAATAGAGGCCTGGACACACGGGGCAGACTGACAGCTGTCAGAGGGGAGGGGTTTGGGGAACCGGATTGACGAAGGTGAAGGGATAGAGCAGAAAACATGTATACACGACACACAGACACGGACGACAGTGTGAGGGCCGGGGGGAAGGGAGTGAGGGCAGGTGGAGGTGGACAAAGGAGGGCGAAATGGGGACAGAAGGAGACTCCGCTCGGGGCGATGGGCACACGACACAGTGTGCAGATGATGTGTTATTGAGTTGTACACTTGAAACCTGTGTGGTTTTGCAAACCAATGTCACCCCAATAAATTCAATTTTATTATTTTTTATTTATTTATTTATTTTTATCCTCACTCAAGGACATTTTTCCATTTTTTGTTCAGGTAGAGTGGGAGGGAGAGAGAGAGGAACAGAGAGAGAGAAAAAAACATCGATGTGAAAGGGACACATCGAGTGGCTGCCACCCGCACGACCCAACCAGGGCCGGGGACAAATTGCAACCGAGGTACGTGCCCTTAGCGGGAACTGAACCCGGGTCTCTCTGGACCACAAGCCGATGCTCTAACCTCTGAGCCAAACCAGCCAGGGCAATAAATTCAATTTTAAAAAGAAAGAAAAGTAAAGAAGGCTCTTAAACAATTTGAAACGTTAAAAAAGAAAAAGATAAGTATGTTTTGGAATACTTTTTTCTGAGTTGTCAAAGTAGTAGACAACACAGAACCTTCTCCTTTCAAGAAAAGACAAGTACTTTTTAAATTACGTTGGGGGGAAGTGATTAAGTAAACTGGCAGCGGTGGGCACGACAATGACAGCTTGTCTGCGAGGCCCTGGCGGGCGTGGTTCACCTGGTCCTATCTCAGGCAGCGTGCCCTTTCTCCACCACAGCCACCACTGGGCCATGGAGGGTGGGCAGAAAACCACAGCTGTCAGCCCCGTTCACAGGCAAGACGGGTATTTTAAAACGGGAATCTCTGTGTGCACATGTGTACACATGTGGGGGTGTGTGACTGTATATGACAAGATCATCTGTCCTAGGCTGAAATACTGCCGGCTCCCCGCCAGCTTCAGGACCGCTCTTCTGGGGAGCCTCCCAAGGTCACCCAAGGTCCCGGAGTTAGCACATCTCCTGCCTGTGCTGTTCACCTCCTACCTGCTTCCCCTCTCCACGGAGCCTGCGGGGGTCCCGGAGAATAAGGTCAGTGCCATCCTGGGGAGCACCCACTCGTGCCCAGGGAAGTTCAGGTTCAGAAAATGCTTCTCTGTTGCCTGGCGCCCATTGCGATCTTCAGACGCGTGAGTGTAAGTCATTGTTCGTAAGGGTGCTGCAGGTGCATTTCTTTCCGCCCGACCCAGAGCTTCTACCCGCCATGACCCGGGAGCCTGGATCTTCCAAAGATCTTTCCCTTTGTCGTGGCCTCTATATAGAGAAGCCTTTCTCCCCGAGGAAGCTGCGGTGCGATGAAACCTGCGCTCTGACGCTGAGCCGAACGCCCGCTGTGGTCCGCACAGAGCAGACGTGTGCGTTGGCCCCGAGAGGGGCCGGCACCTCGCGCCCGGAGAGCGCCGCAGCCTTCTCTTCGTTTTCACTCACTTATTGTCTGTGCTGAATGTGTCGGTGGAGCTGAAATGCGCTATTAAAATCACTCAACAGCCCTGGCCGGTTTGGCTCAGCGGTTAGAGCGTCGGCCTGCGGTCTGGAGAGACCCGGGTTCGGTTCCCGCTAGGGGCACGTACTTCGGTTGCAGTTTGTCCCCGGCCCTGGTTGGTTGTGCGGGTGGCAGCCACTCGATGTGTCCCTTTCACGTCGATGTTTCTCTCTCTCTCTCCCTTCCTCTCTCTCCCTCCCACTCTATCTGTACAAAAAAAAAAAAAATGGAAAATATCCTCGGGTGAGGATAAAAAAAAAAAATCACTCAACAAATAGATGTATAATTTAAAATGAATGAATATAACTAAATAAAAAATGTTTAAGGTGGGTATCCTTCCCTTTAAAAAAAATTTTTTTTTTTAAATTCTCACCCAAGGATCTTTTTACATTTATCTTCAGACAGAGTGGGAGGGAGAGAGAGAGAGAAACAGAGAGAGAGGGAGGGAGAGGAAGGGGGGGGAGGGAGGGAGAGGCAGAGGGAAACATCCATGTGAGAGAGACACATCGATTGGTTGCCACCCACACGACCCCAACTGGGGCCAGGGACGAACTGTAACCAAGGCCTGTGCCCTTGACTAGAATCGAACCTGGGACTCTCTGGTCCGCAGGCCGGCGTTCTAACCGCTGAGCCAAACCGGCCAGGGCTCTCCTTCCATTTTTAAATATCTCAAATGCCGGTCTTCAGGTGGCTCTGCCGCCAGACCTCCCCGCCAGCCCGGGTCCCTCCGGGTGGCACAGGCCAGCGGGAACATGCTGTGCCAAGGGGAAGGCCGGGCTGACCGGCGACCAGGACAGACTGTGCTGAGACGGGTCCAAACCAAAGTGGCTTCCATGGGCCTCCAGACCTGCCCATGGATTTATTCCCCCAGACTTTCCAGCACGAACGTCGACCAAGCCTCTGCTCCTGATAGAGTGTCAGGGAAAGGAGACGGGCCTGGCCAGCTTTCTCTGGGTCACGTGGGTGTGCGCAGTGGGTGAAGAGTCCTCCTGCGACGAAGGAGGCCGGGGCTGAGTGAGGACTGAGCCGCCTTGCCTTAAATTCTTAGGATGCTGCTCTAGGTTTCCAGCGCACATTATGCGCACGGCTGTCACCTGCTGTTAGCATGGTCTTTCTTACCCCTCAGCGGCTGAGAGGGAAAGTTTCCCATCTGGGTGACTTTACATCTGTTTTTCCTGCATCCCAAGCTTGACATTGGAGAAGTCAGTGGACACACTACACGCCTGGTCCGATGGCCCCTAAGCCTGCTCTTTGGGGGGGGGTGCATCTACGTTAAGGCGGGGGGGCTCCCTCACAAGAGGGGCCTCAGTAGGACAGACCCAGAGGCCCGTGATGGAGAGGGGCTGGGGCGGGGCAGCCCAGCTGAAATGCTCGGGTCCCAGGCCCTTCTCTCTCAGATCCATATTAAGGAGATGAGGCTGCACGTATATGAGAAGTCAGTTCCTTGCAAAAAAGAAAATGGCTTACCACACTGAGGGACATCGCAGTAGTCATAAAGTTTTTTGGGATCCGTCGTGTAGCACCAGGGACCGTTGTCATCCCCGTCAGGGTTCCGGCAGTACTGAAAAAAGGACAGGTGTGTACGGAGCGGTGCACACGGGCAGGAGAGGGGCCTGAGGCACAGGCATGTCCTGCCGTCCTTGGAAGGTGGACAGCAAGTGCTCCTTCTTTGGGGGGAGGGGAGACTTTAGGGTGCTCTGACTTGTTCCATTGGTCATGTCTCCTTGTTCAAAAGGAGCTCCTACCGTGAGCTCCCCCTCCCGCCCCCCACTGCCCCGAGGGAGCGTAAGGCCTCTGAGGGGACTTAACGTAGAGAATATAGAAGGGGACACTTCTGTCAGGGGAGGCCTGAGAGACCCAGCGGGAGAGGATCAAGGGACATAACTGGCTCATTCAGCAGCCTCCTGCCCCGTGCAGCCTGCCTGCTGGCGGTTCCGAAAGGTTTATTCCCGTGGGCTGTGCCCCCTCCCAAGCCAGGCAAAGCTATGTCCTCCTAGTCCTTCCTGTACACACCCACAAAGTAAACCAGAACGTGAGAGACGGGGGTCCTACTGTGTGGCACCCCAACGGCCCATCCACTTTTTTCTTTTTTGAAAAGTCTGACTGAAGTGTCCTGAATCACCACTGATCACCAGGATCGAGAGGGCAATCGCTGGAGACTAGGAACAGCCCCCAAGGAAGCTCCCCCGCGGCAGCCCGGGGCCCTGTGCTCGTGGTGCCGCTGCTGTCCCGCCGCAGGCCCGGTGCCCGGGGCTCTCCTGGTCCCTCCTCCACCCACACCAAAGGTCGGTCCAGGCTGACTCGCCGGGACCTAGATCCAATTCCGTCTGCAAAGACTGGTCAGCAAAAGGCGAGACGGAGTCCCTTCAAAGCGGCTTACGTTTTTGTCCAGACCGGCTTGTGGATTTGTCTTGGGAGTGAAAATGCTGTGTCTGTGGGGCTCCTGGGCAGCCCAGCCCTGGCACGTGGTGCCAGCCACAGTGGTGGCCCTGGTGCCCCGATACGCCTTCCCGTTGCCAAACATGCAGTCTGTGGGCAAGAGAGGGGCCGGTCAGGCGGCGGAGACGGGGCGCGAAGGGGCGGCGGCGGCGGGAGGCTTCCCCGGACCGGCTCTGTGGTCTCCCGAGCCCACTGTGCACGCTGCCTGCTGGACGAGCCCCCCGACAGCTATGGGCTTGGGCAGTCCCAGGTCGAGCAGGCGTTGGGATGGGGATGTGGGCCAGGACACTGAGAGTCGATGTCCCACAAGCTGAGGGTGAGCCGGCGCACCCGGAGGGGCTGCGGGAGGCGGAGCTGCCGTGAGCTTAGCGGCTCTCAGACCCCACGCTGTCCCCAAGGCGGGTCCACAGCGCACCCTGGACGGGCTTTCTGGAAAACCCGATTTGGCTAGAGCTGTGCTTGGAGTCCCCACCCTCTGGCGTGAAAAGGGTAGCAGAGATGACTTGGCACACCTTCCCCAAGCTCGTCCCTCATCTCAGACTTGGGAATGGGGCTCCCACAGGAGCCCCAGGGAATCTGACGTGCATCACGTGTGTGTGTGTGGGGGGGGGGGTGTACCGGTGCCCTGATGGCCACTCGGAAAACCCAAAAAGCAAAAGCTGGGCCAGGGGGCTTCACTGCCGAGGAAGGGGCCCTGTGCTGGGAAGCCTGCACCCCGACAATTGCCGGGACCAGGGTATGTGGGTTACCCATGCACTAAATGCAGGGAGAACCACGTGGGGTCACCTCCTGTCCTATCCAGGAGGGACACCCAGGTGGGGCTCAGGGGAAGGAGAGGCGGGCTCACCCGGGTCCCAGGAGGAGCGCTGTGGAGAAGCCACGCTAACCTGGGGAAGCAGGGAGTCTGCTTCACACCCACTGCTCATTCTAACCACTGCTGTCGGGGGAGTTTGAATGATCGAAAGCGATCAGACAGGCCACGGACCCCTGGGCTTTCACGCTGGGGCAGGAGGAGAGCGAACGCTGTGTCCCCCACCTGCGAGGGGACAGAGTGGGTGCCACCTGGCAGCCACAGGGCCGGTGTTCCGCCGCCACGGCGACAGCCCAAGGGCCAGGGAAGCAAGGAGGAGGGAGGACTGCTTTCGGCTCCGGCCTCCGATGACAACCTCACTCACGTTCAGGCCCAGTAGCTGTTCCAGCCACACAGCCACTGCGCAAGTGCTCACCGGACACATCACTGGCCTGCCTGCCTAGCACGCCGAATGCAGTATATCCAAAGGCAAATTCATCCTTCCTCTCCCTCCATGGGGGAGGCAGGGACTTGCTTTTCTAGCATGTCCTGTTTCAGCTCATGCTGCCATTATCAACCTCTCCATCCACCCAGGCTCACCATTTCATCCATTGTCACACCAATTGGTGTTCAGGTCCGCCAGCAACAGCAGTCTGCCCCACCCCCAGCCCCAAGGTGGCAGGAGAGGTTCCCTTCCACGTGCATTCAAGTCCCCAGAGCAGCGACGCCTCTGCCTTCATCAGCTTCCCCGTCCTTCCTCCCAGCGCCCACGCGCACAGGTGTCGCCGCCAGCATCTCACCTGATTGCAAAGAGCTCTCTGTAGTGACAACGTGGGTTTCGGGCGGAGCGTTTGTGACAGTCACTTGTGTTGCTGAGCATTTTTTCAGGTTGCAGAACTCCCACCGGACCTGCGGGTCGGTGGTGTAACACCAAGGGCCTTTGTCGGCATCCGGGTTCCTGCAGTAGTTCATGGTCAAGCCTCTGTGAATTCCACGAGAGCGCGCGTGAGTGGCGGGAGAATCCTCGGGGCACCCCAGCACCCTCTGAATTTTGTTTTAACAAAGTCATTTTGTTTTTTTTTAATAAGAGAGAGTTTATTTAGAAAGTCACAGAGGTAGAAGTGAGCCATAGAAGAAATAGGCTCAGGAAACAAGTTACAGCCAAAGAAGGGCCCTTGGAGCTCAGGGGAGCTTAGGGTGAAGGGAAGGAGCCTCAGGGGAAGGAAGAGGAGAAGAGGGAGAAGGGAAGTCTTGGGCATGCCCGGGGGGGGGGGGGGTCTTACCAAAGTCCTAAGTGGCTGAAATATTTTTATTAAGGACACCAAAGGTGCAAACTATTATTACAGGGCCACAAGCACAGGTCCTCAATGTCAAAACAATTTTTAAAATAGATTATAATTTTCTTTAACAAATTGAAATTAATATATTCTCCATATAAAAGCTAAGGTGACATGTAAAGGTGTAAAGAAAGTATCAGGATGTCTCCTTTCCTGGGAATGTTGACTACATTCCCCGAGGATAACAATAGGGGTTTGGGCGCATATATCTTAGGTGTTTTTCAGCGCATGCAAATACTTCTGTATCTCGGACTCTGTCTCTGTACATGACTCCATAGGGCTGTGGACACTGGACCAGCATGTGTTTTTTCAGGGAAGAAATTATATACGAGATAGTGGTGCACCAGGTCAGCTTCCTAGTCTATTTACTCATAATGTAGTTAAATGTTGTGGATTTACAATGAAAAAAAAATGAACATAATGTAATTATAAATATCATCTCTGGTAGATCTAGTGGGTTCAGGGCTTGAAAGACTTCTGGAAGCCGGCCTGGCAAACTAGCTCTCTGGCCTGATGTCGTTTCTCTAGGACGCGTCCTGAGGGAGCCCGCAGAAACCCTGCAATGTCCTCCCCCCACTCACCTGTGTCACCTCCCTTGCTGCAGACACTCAGGGACTGGGGAAGGGGTGAGACTAAAGAACGGGGGGCAGAGTGGCAAAGAGAGACATCTGGGTAGACTAAGGACCTGGGGAGCTCGAGGTTTGTGGAGAAGTCAGAAGAAGCTGGGGCCCTGGCCCGGCCGGTGTGGCTCAGTGGTGGAGCGTCAACCCCTGCGCCAAGAGGTCACCAGTTTGATTTTCGGTCAGGGCACATGCCCAGGTTGTGGGCCAGATCCCCAGTGGCGGCCATGCAGGAGGTGGCCAATTGATGTTCTCTTTCATCGATGTTTTTATCTCTCTCTCCCTCTCCCTTCCTCTCTCGCTAAAATTAATAAAGAAAACAAAATTGTTTTTGAAGTTGGGGCCCTGGGAAGTATGGCTCAGTGGGTTGGGCATTGTCCCATGCTTTAAAAAATCGCCGGTTTGATTCTCAGGTACATGCCAGGGTTGCAGGCTCTATCCTCAGTTGGGAACATGCAGGAGGTAGGCGATTGATGTTTCTTTCTCTTTCTCCCTCTCCCTTCCTCTTTCCCTAAAAATCAATAAAAATGTTTTTAAAAAGTGCCCTGGCCGGTTTTGCTCAGTGGTTAGAGCGTTGCCCCGCCATCCAGAGAGTCCTGGGTTTGGTTCCTGCAAAGGGCACGTACTTCTGTTGCAGTTTGTCCCTGGCCCCAGTTGGGGTTGTGTGGGGTGGCAGCCAGTCGATGTGTCTCTTTCACATCAATGTTTCTCTCTCTCTCTTCCTCCCTCCTGCTCTATCTGAAGATGAATGCAAAAATGTCCTCGGGTGAGGATAAAAAATAAATAAAAAGAAACAGCAGGTGAGGAACCTGGGACACTGGGTGAATCGGTCCCCCAGGGCCACCCCAGAACACTGTCCAAGCCCTGAAGAATTCTCAGCCTTGGAATCCCTTTCCAACTTAGACTCATGACCCGTGGCTGTCTGAGAAAATCCAAAACGTATTATATACAGTCAGCCCTCGTTTATTGTGGTTAATCAGTTCCAGACTCTGCCGTGATAAGTGAATTTCTGTGAAGTAGGTTTTTTATTCCTAAACGTACTACACTCTATTCGACAAAACCGCGATAGAGTGCAGCGCGGAGTGGTGAGGGACGACTGAGTGTGGGGACCCAACACTATCTGTAAACGCTATGACGAGTGGGGAGTCTCAGGCTGGGGCCTACGGTCTGAGGAAGCCCATCAGAGGGGGTCTGAGCAACTGGACATGTTAAAGGCTCGACCATTGATGGCAAAAAGCCTGGTCTGCTCAGACTTGGTCTGGTGTCCACCTACCTGCCCGTACCTGTCAGCATCTGTCTACATCCTGGCTCTCGCCTGCCTTCCTGCTTGTCCTCTTCATGTCCTGGCAACTCATGTCCCTGCAGACCACGAGTGCTCAGGCTCAGAGGTGTCTGGACAGGTCCGGTTAGAGACACTGTGACCCAGTGACACAAACAAACTTCGCTTCGGGGACCGAGGTTGGAATGATCAGATCCCATAGCTGAAAGGCTGCCTTGATGGATAGTTGTGGAATGCTACTGTCGTTAATCTTTTGGTTACTTGTCTTCCTGAGCTTTCTGGTAGCGTGACCTTGACACCTCCACATATCCCGACCCCCCGGCTTCCACAAAACAACTCAGGAAAGACAGCCAGCCTCTAACTCCTCTTCTTTAAGAACTTTTGCACAAAAACAAGACACCTGCGATCCTTTGCCTCACACTCTGGAGCCAAGAGAAGTTTGGTCCTAAGATGTTAACTTCAACATGGCCCTTCTAACAAACGGAAGTGAGCTGTGGCTCCCCTTGCGGTTAAGAATCAAAGACGTGCCCTGGCCGGTTTGGCTCAGCGGTTAGAGCGTCGGCCTGCGGTCCGGAGAGACCCGGGCTCGGTTCCCGCTAAGGGCATGTACCTCGGCTGCAGTTTGTCCCCAGCCTTGGTCGGTTGTGCGGGTGGCAGCCACTCGATGTGTTCCTTTCACGTCGATGTTTCTCTCTCTCTCTCTGTTCCTCTCTCTCCCTCCCACTCTACCTGAACAAAAAATGGAAAAATGTCCTCGGGTGAGAATAAAAATATATAAATAAATAAAAAGAATCAAAGACGTACGCATTTGGGTATTTTTCTGGGGTCTTTAAGTGCCGGTGTGGTATCATGGACGACCAAGATTGACATTTCCTGCCTGTGATTGTGGTGGACGATGTACCCCGATAGCTCTGTCCATTGCCCTGGTAGCACTCAGGGACCACGGGAGTTTGTTCAGGTGGCACTGAAATGGAATAGAAGAAATCAGCGAATAATGACTAGCACAGAGAAATATGCGCAGCAAGAAATGACACGAAAAAAATTAAAAATTGAACTTCCATTTGACCCAGTGATCCCGCTTCTAGGAATATACCCTAAGAAGCCTGAAAGCCCAATCAGAAAGAATATATGTACCCCCATGTTCACAGCAGCACTATTTACAATAGCTAAGATCTGGAAACAGCCCAAATGTCCATCAGTTGACAAATGGATAAAAAAGCTGTGGTACATATACACCATGGAGTACTATGCAGCTGTAAGAAAGAACTCTTATCCTTTGAGACGACATGGAGGGACCTGGAAAGTATCATCCTAAGTGAAACAAGCCAAACAGAGAAATACAAGTATCATATGATCTCACTTATTTGTGGAATATAATGAACATAACAGTCTGAGGAATAGGGTAGTCCCAGAGACATGGAAGTGGGGTACAGACTGACAATCCCCAGAAGAGGGGGTGGTGGGGGAGAGATAAACCACAGAACTTATATGCAAAATAATTAAACACACCTAGACATACCATAATCAAACTGCTGAAAACCAAAGAGAAGAGAAAATCTTAAAGGCAGAGAAAAAATAAGTATTAAATATAGAAACTCAGAAACTCTTCAAAAAAAAGAAGATAATAAAATAATATCTTTAAGGTGGTGAAAGGGGGGGAAAATGCCCACCTGTAGTTCTACACCCAGCAAAAATTATCTTTTTAAACCAAAGGCAATATAACGACAATGTCAGACATACAAGAGCTGAAAGACCTCGCCAGCAGCGTACCTGTACTACAAAAATGTTCAAGGTTAAATGTTTTACAGAAGAAATATGACATCAGGCGGTAATTGGAACCTACAAAAAGAAATAAAGAGCACCAGAAATTGTAAAAATAAATAATAATAAATATAAATAAATAAGTGTAGTAAACATAAAAGATATATTTTATTTATAATCACTATAAAACATCACTGTCTGTTTAGGGCAAAACTAGTATCAATGTATTTTGCGACGTATAACCTAACAGAAGTTAGGTCTTTGAGAACAAAATTATAATATTTGAGGGGAGGAGGTACAAGTACAACATTATAAGGGTCTTACATTACACATCTAGTAAAAGAATATTATTTGAAGGTGGGATGTGATTAAAGTTGTACATTGTAAACATTAGAAAAAGTACTAAAAATATAAAAAACTGGTTGAAGCAGTAGAGCTAATAAAAGACAGTCAAGGAATACTCAGTTAATGCAAACAAAGACAGAAAAAAAAAAAAGGACCGAAATTCAAACTGGACGAGGAGAAATAATTAACTCGATGGTTGGTTTGAATCCAACCATGTTCACAATTACATTAAAGGCAAATGGTCGAAACCTCTCAACGGAAGTTTGAGAAACATGATATATCAGACACTAGTGCACGTCGGGCAGCCGTGGCCGCACCGGTATCTGCACAGACTTCGGAAGGGGAGCGGGGCAGAAGACGGCAGGGGCCATTGTTCGAGGACACAGCCGTCCTGAGCGTGTCTTTCCAACCGAGAACTCCAGAATTTATAAAGCAAAGAGAAACGAAAGAGTAAACGCACAGGTACAGTTGGGGACGCCACCATCCGTCTCTCAGTAATTGCTGGAACAGAAGATAGAAGGTTAGTAAGGGTTCAAAGGAGCGAAACAGCACGAACCAACTTGACCTGGCTGGCCTTTCTAGAACACTCCGCAGCAGCAGCGGAAGCCACGTTCTTTTCAAGAGCACACAAAACGTTTACCACGGTGACCGTATCCTGAACCATAAAACACGCCTCCTCCACAAAGTTAAATGATTGCAGCACCTTCTCTGACCAGAACAGAATTCAACTCTAAGAGGAGCTGCTGTATCCCGAGCCTGTCCTGGAGAAGAAATCCGAGCAGAGGCCCTCGGTGAGCTGGGCCCCTTCCCTACCTGTGTCGTCCTGCTGCTCTGTGGACGGGGCAGAGGACTCACAGGACGGGATGTTGCAGTATTCCCACCTCACTTCACTGTTGGTTGTGTAGCACCACGGAACTGATTCTTTGTCAGGGTTACGACAGTAGTTCTCCTCCAAATTTCTGGAAAAAAGTGATTGTGACTTCAGTTTTCCAAAAAGGCTAAATAACCAAGTGCACACACGCTTGTTAACAGGGGAACTGGACGGCTGATTCTCCAGAACTACATAAGCTGGAAAATAGGTGGAAACGTGTGCAGAGCAGGAATCTTTAGGACCCCAGACAGTTACGGCACATACGCTTCTCTGGGGTGAGCGATGAAGACGTGTCCCTCGACTGTGTATAGTCAAGCAGAATAGTTCTGCTCTGTGTATGCCAACACACAGTGGGCATTTTCCACAGTGTTCCGGCCTCAAAAACGATATCTAGTGTAGCCCTGGAACTGGAGTGTTACAGCCCTGGGATCTCAGTGTTCTCTAAACATACTGTGCCGGGACCCACTCCTGGGAGATTCTGATCTGGTACATCTGGAGTAGGCCCCAAGCACTATCATTGCCCCAAACTGCTGCTGCTGGCCATGCTGCTGTTCTGGAGAAACACTCTGAGAAGCAGAATTACGGGGAGATCAGGGCTGAATTCCACGTGCCTTGCCTGGGACTTGACCAGTTTTCACTGCAGGGTACTTTCCCTGCGGTGATTCAAACTAAAGCGAAGTCAGTGGGATTTCACAAATTTTTCAACCAACAGGGAATGAGCCCAGAGGCGGACTCACTTGCAGGGAAAGTTTTCCGGGGTCTTGTTGTGCCTGTGAGGGGTCTGTTCGCTCCAGCGCTGACAAGTTTGCCCAGAGACAGTGACAGCCACATTGCCAACGTAGTTTTCACCTCTTCCCTTCAGACACTGATACGTGGGGCCGGAAGACGGCGGGGGTGTTGCTTGAGTGGGGATAAGAAATGACAATGAGTATTTTTGAAAGGAAGAATCCACAGGGGGATGGGATGGGCTGGCGGCAGGGACCACCAGCCTGGCTGCCTTTCTGTGCACCTTCTCTTGGAACTTGGAGCTTGAAAATTGTTTATCATTTTTAGAAGAAGGTGACGTGGTGGAATCTATGTCTACGGGATCATCTTGGAGGAACTCCTGCAGGGACAAGACCTTTGGAGTGCATGCTTCTTTCTAGTTCTCTTTCTCAGTTTGTCATACATGGTAAGAAAACATGTCACCCTCACCCCGAATCCTCACATACGCCAGTGATCCACCTTCCTTTGTGGAGAGTAAATGATTCAGAGTAGACATAACTAAATGGCACCCAGCACATCATAAAGCCATGGAAAGGAGGCCAGAAATGTCTCCAGGAACCAGAAATCACGAAATTCTTGAGAAGAAAAAAAAAAAAGGATGACAAAAGAGGAAGTGATGCTCAGAAAGGAGGTGAGTGCCTGAGGAGCCAGGGTACCGGAGGAGCTGGGGTGCCTGAGGAGCCGGGGTGCCTGAGGAGCCGGGGTGCCTGAGGAGCCGGGGTGCCCCCAGGGCGGCTGGGGTGCCTGAGGAGCCGGGGTGCCTGAGGAGCCGGGGTGCCTGAGGAGCTGGGGTGCCCCCAGGGCGGCTGGGGTGCCTGAGGAGCCGGGGTGCCTGAGGAGCTGGGGTGCCCCCAGAGTGGCTGGGGTGCCTGAGGAGCCGGGGTGCCTGAGGAGCTGGGGTGCCTGAGGAGCCGGGGTGCCTGAGGAGCTGGGGTGCCTGAGGAGCTGGGGTACCTGAGGATCTGGGGTACCCCCAGGGCAGCTGGGGTGCCTGAGGAGCCGGGGTACCTGAGGAGCTGGGGTGCCTGAGGAGCTGGGGTGCCTGAGGAGCTGGGGTGCCCCCAGGGCGGCTGGGGTGCCTGAGGAGCCGGGGTGCCTGAGGAGCTGGGGTGCCTGAGGAGCCGGGGTGCCTGAGGAGCTGGGGTGCCTGAGGAGCTGGGGTACCTGAGGAGCTGGGGTGCCCCCCAGGCGGCTGGGGTGCCTGAGGAGCCGGGGTGCCTGCGGAGCCGGGGTGCCTGAGGAGCTGGGGTGCCTGAGGAGCTGGGGTGCCTGAGGAGCCAGGGTGCCTGAGGAGCTGGGGTGCCTGAGGAGCTGGGGTGCCTGAGGAGCCAGGGTGCCTGAGGAGCCGGGGTGCCTGAGGACCCGGGGTGCCCCCAGGGCGGCTGGCAGACCCAAGCACAGGGAGCCGGGCCGCAGGCCTGCAGAGCCCTTTCTAACTTCCGATGACCGCCCTTGTCTAAATGCCTAGTCCCTTGCTTCAAATTCTCATCAAAGGAAAAGATTATGAAATTGTTTCTTTCCGGTCTTTCCTGCTAAGTCAGCTGGTCCACCTTCCTTCCCTGAGCTCTCTTCTCCCGTTGCTCACGCACAAGTTGAAACCGGGTGTCAGCGACCCCCCGGTCGACAGAGCGACAATCAGACAGAACTCTGTTGGCAATAAAACCAGTGGATGGGAAGCACGGGTCCGAGTTCCCTTTGCAGGTTATCAGCATTACTTTCAAGAACCCACATCCAGCCCTGGCCAGTTTGGCTCAATGGTTAGAGCGTCAGCCTGAGGACCAGAGAGTCCGGGGTTCGGTTCCCGCTGGGGGCATGTACCTGGGTTGCAGTTTGTCCTCGGCCCCTGTTGGGGTCATGTGGGTGGCAACCAGTCGATGTGTCTCTCTCACATCGATGTTTCTCTCTCTCTTCCTCCCTTTCTCCTTCCCACTCTATCTGAAGATAAATGCAAACATGTCCTCGGGAGAGGATAAAAAAAAAGAACCCACATCCAACTGTGGAGACAGGAAAACAATAAAAACAAAGCCATGATCACAGATGCTCTGCCCATCACCTATAGTAACCAGTAGATTGTTTCAAAAGAGCCATCACATCTCACAGCGATTTTAGGGCACGTGTTAGGCACAATACTCAGGCACAGACACACGTGTTTTGTTTTGTTTTTTCTTTCTTGATTCCAAGAGTGGAAGGGCGAGGGTCCCTGAGGACGGGCAGGGCCCACACTCACTGCAGCGTGGGACATTGCAGAATTCCCAGCGTCTGTTGGGATCCGTGGTGAAGCACCATGGGCGGGGCTCCCCATCAGGGTTACGGCAGTAATTCATCTTCAGGTTCTTGTCTGGAAATCTGAGCGGGCGAGAAGGGTTTTCATGGCACCGAACATTCCCAGATCAGAATCATTTCAAATAAGCACATTCAGACACCTGCTAGGCAGAGTCAAGCACCCAGGGAGGTGACTGGATGAAGGCTGGCCTCAAAGTTTAGCTCAGGAGTCTAAGGACTGTTTTCCTAACTGTGAATCACAGAACAGGATGAGTAACTTGATCATTCTGGCTGTCCGGAAAACTGATGTAAGCAAACTCTAGCTATTCGACTGCAAATAATAGCAATTTTTAGCCTGGCCGGTGTGGCTCAGCGGTTGAGCGTGGACCCATGCACCAAGAGGTCATCGGTTCGATTCCTGGTCAGGACACATGCCCAGGTTGTGGGCCAAATCTCCAGTGGGGGGCATGCAGGAGGCAGCTAATTGATGTTCTCGCTCATCAATGTTTCTATCTCTCTCCCCCATTCCTCTCTCTCTAGGAAAAATCAATAAAAAAAGTAGCAATTTTTAAAACACAAGGTACTCGCCAGTTGCCATCTTCGGAGCTTAAAGAAATGATCCTTATGGTACACTAGGCCCTGGTCTTGTTGGCCTTTAAGCTTCTAGAAACTGGAGGGACCAGCTGTGCTCCTGTGAGCACCTCGCCCAAGGGTCCCCAGGCCAGTGAGCCCCCGCCAGCGGGGACCCAGGCCAAGCCCTCTGGGTTAGTTCACGTCCCTCTCTCAGGCTGTAACTGCTCGGTGAGGCTGGACCACGTGCCCTGCAGTGGCATAGCCGCCTGCTCCTATTTCCCGGGAGCGAATGGACCCAGTCAGGGCCTTGAGGCCTTTCCCGTATTTCCCCTGAACAGAAAAGGCAACCCCTGTGTTGTGAGTTAACTCTCTGGAGTGGGAGGTGCAGAAATCCCGTGGCGCTGTTTCCCGCAGTGAAACCTGGGCCTTGTCTCATTTCCTGTAAGTGTTCTTAGGTGCCAGTGTGGTCCCACAGCCGTCATAGAATGAGGAAAACGATCAGAAGCAGCTACAGAAAGGGGGTGTTTTCCAGTATAATCCATATGAAGTTGGGGAGGGGGTTTCTACATCGGGGCTCTCATTCCCCCTTTGAGAATCTAGTGAAAGTTAGGAACCCTCACCCCAGAAAAATGCACTGATGTCAACACAAATAATTGAGGGATTCCTAAAACCCCCATAGCCCATCCACAGATCGTAGGTTAGGAAGACTTGAATCTTGCTGGTATGAAAGGCAAGACAAAGAATATAGAGAAAGCCCTGGCCGGTTTGGCTCAGTGGTTAGAGCGTCAGCCTGCGGTCCAGAGAGACCCGGGTTCGGTTTCCGCTAAGGGCACGTACTTCGGTTGCAGTTTGTCCCCGGCCCTGGTTGGTCGTGCGGGTGGCAGCCACTCGATGTGTCCCTTCACATCGATGTTTCTCTCTCTCTCTCCCTCCCACTCTATCTGTATGGAAAATGGAAAAATATCCTCGGGTGAGGATAAAAAAAAAGAATATAGAGAAACCCTGGCTGGTTTGGCTCAGCGGTTGGAGCGTTGGCCTGTGGTACAGAGAGACCCAGGTTCGGTTCCCGCTAAGGGCACGTACCTTGATTGTAGTTCGTCCCGGCCCTGGTTGGTCGTGTGGGTGGCAGCCACTCGATGTGTCCCTTTCACGTCGATGTTTCTCTCTCTCTTTCTCTCTCTCCCTCCCACTCTATCTGAACAAAAAATGAAAAAATGTCCTCGGGTGAGGATAAAAAAAAAAAAAAAAAAAAAGAATATAGAGAAGAGGAAAGCATTGGGAAAATACACAAGTGAGTATTTCTTCAATCTTATTGTGCACACGAATCAGCCGTGGTGAGAACACAGAGTCGGGGCCAGAGGGTCTGAGATTCTGCAGGTCTCACCTGCTCTCAGAGGCTATCGCCCCTCCGCGGACCGCATTTTGAGAAGCTGGAGTGCACAGTTCTCTTGCAGTCGAGTGGGAAGAGGCGAACTTTGAGACTCAGAAACATCGGATATGTTCACTTCGCGAGGAATGCGAAAATGTCTCAATAACAGCCCCATGGAGCTGCAGGGTCGGAAACACTGGATCTCGCTCCCGCTGTGACTTACTTGGAGGGAAGGTAGCCGTGCGCGTGCGGGGTCTGCGAGTCCCATGACTGGCATTCTACTCCAGACTGGGTCTTGGAAATTTTGCCCTCGTAATTTTCTCCACTGCAATGCATACACTCATCTGGGAAGGTGGGCAAGAAGGAAAGGAAGAACGGAAATGGATAAAGCAGAGTGAACCCTCGAGTCCCACCAGAAACGTCTGCAGCACCAGCTGACCCTTGTTCACATGTACTTCCCGACCATCGCTTGGCAAGAAAATCGGCACTAAAGACTCAGATTTCTAATACAACCACAAATGTCCCTCTCTCCGTCAAATGGTAAAATTAGGCCCTGGCCAGCTTGGCTCAGCGGTTAGAGCGTCGGCCTGCGGTCCGGAGAGACCCGGGTTCGGTTCCCGCTAAGGGCACGTACTTCGGTTGCAGTTTGTCCCCGGCCCTGGTTGGTCAGGCGGGTGGCAGCCACTCAATGTGTCCCTTCACATCGATGTTTCTCTCTCTCTCTCCCTTCCTCTCTCTCCCTCCCACTCTATCTGTACAAAAAATGGAAAAATATCCTCGGGTGAGGATAAAAAAAAAAAAAAGGTAAAATTAGCATATTTTGGTCAAGACCCCCTCGACTATTATTGTCATGACCAAATCCAGAAATTCCGTTAACGTGCTGTCCTCAGACCGGGATGCGCTGACCCTTGGTGGGTAGGAAGGGTTGAGAAGGGTGCACACATGCTCAGACATCTGTAAGTTCTCGACTGGGATTTAAACATATTTGGCGTTGTTTCAAGAAGGATCTTAAAATTTTTCTATGAAATTATCTGATCGTATGGATGGCTGTACCCTCCAGGACTCAAGTGCTGGGTTTTGTTTATGCTCATAACCTCACTGGGGAACAGCAGTCACCTAAAATGACAGCCGTTCTCTTTTGATATGATTGAGAAGCATGACTAGGTGTTCTTCGCTTTCTTACATTATTTAAGAACAGAAGCTTTGATTCGGAATTAATAACATGGCACAGCAGGATAACATATGACTTTACGTTTTGTGGAGTAATAAGGAACAGAAGAGTCAGATTTGATACAAAAATGAAGCATTCAGCCCTGGCCGGTTTGGCTCAGCGGTTAGAGTGTCGGCCTGCGGACCAGAGAGACCCGGGTTCAGTTCCCGCTGACGGCGTGTACCTTGGTTGTAGTTTGTCCCCAACCCTGGTTGGGTCATGCGGGTGGCAACCACTCGATGTGTCCCTTTCACGTTGATGTTTTTTTTCTCTCTCTCTCCCTCCCACTCTATCTGAACAAGAAATGGAAAAGTGTCCTCGGGTGAGGATAAAAAAAAAATGAAGCATTCATGTCAATTAAGGGACAGATGACCTCACAATATAGTACGCAAATAAGGAGTCCCCAGAGTTGAACTAGATAAAGGGATGGGATCTGAGCTGTCACAGGTGTGTGCCCCCACCTGGCTACACAAATCCACTATCCTCCACCTCCTCCTTGCACTGATAAATGGAGCAGGAAATGTGAAATGAAGAACACCTTTTTCAATAGGATGTTTTTAATTTTTAGCACAGACTTTTCAGGTGTGCTGTTAAATTGGTTGGTTCGTTAAAATAACGAATTGCTGATTTAAAAATTGGTTCATGGCTTAGCTTTAGTGCAACAACCAAACCTCCCACATTAATATTGTTTATTTGAACTGCATTGATCTTGGGGTTTTATTTCAACTATTTAATTCCAAACCTGTTTTTGTCTTTACACTGTGCCACGTTGTAAGCATAGGAAGCTTATATCTAGCGTTTACCTACAGTTTTAAGTTTGCACATGTTGAAGGAACATTTTAATAAAAACAATTCAGGTCGATACCGGAGCGGCCTCAGCATGTTTGGATCTTTTCCTTGACGCTCATACATCACTCAGTTTTGTCCAACACCACACTAAATGATTATTCACAATATCCCTGTGGGAAATCGCTTCACAGCAAATTACTGTACAGGTGAAGGGCAGATACGAAAACGGTGTCCAGAGCGCTCCTCACCTTCACACTCGGGAATGTCGCAATAGTCGAATCTGGTGCTCGGATCGGTGGTGTAGCACCAGGGCCCCTTCCTGTCGTCGTCGGGGTTTCGGCAGTAGTTCTCCTCCAGTCCCTCCGAAGGGTGGCTCGTGGGTGAGAACCTGTGCGGGATGGAAAGGAATCCCTTGGTTACATTGTATTGTATTATTTTTTCCCTTTGATTACATTTTAAACATCAGCATGTTACCAGCAACACAGAATAAGGTGCTTCCTATTTGCCATCTCAAGTTCAAGATTCTGCCATCCTCATGCTGAAGGCTTGGAGTTGTCCAAGTTTCCGTTTCTCTGTTGCTAGGCTATCTCGGTGTGGTCACTAACATGACACTTTTACTATATTTATAAACACGTCTGAGAAGTAGCAGAGAGCCAAACCGTGTCCTGCCCAGGCAGTGGAAATGAAGCCCCAGAAGCCTGCCAGATTCTTGGTTCATTCCAAACTGCTGCTTTTGACAGTTCCCTATCTCCGTAAAAATAGTAGCAGCTAACAGCATTTTGCCCTTGTGAGCCATGCTCCAGGGTTACACTGAAATCTGTCTCTACGTTCTCTCGTTTAGTCATAATGAAAACCCTACCAGGGATGTGTTGTTATCCCTATTTTACAGATGAGAAAACTGAGACACGGCCACATAAAACCAAGCAAATCTTGCCTAAGTGGGAGCAGCTAATAAGTAGCATCTCAAGAATTTAAGTCAGATCTGCCTGATTCCAAACACGTGCTCTCTCTGCAATGCGGCCAGATTTAAAGAGGGAGTGTGGGCGGGGGGCAGGTAAGCACATTTTCAGCACTAGAGATGAGTTGCCCTGTAGAGATAACAAATTAGATCAAAAGCCCAAGACTTAGAATCCAAAAAGGCAGGTTTTGTTTCTGATTCTTCTATGCACCTGTTTTTGGTACACTGAACCTTAGTTTCCTCATCTGCTGGTGTAGAGATGGCTTGGATTATCTCTAAGGCCCCTGGCAGTCTGTGATTTCATCATTTGGTTTCATCATTTTACCCCTAGGAACTTCAACACCCCAAGAATATTAGATCTGCCCATCTCATGGGGACGCAATAATGGCAATTAGTCAGAGTGGGGGTGGAGTAATAGCAAATCCTACTTGATAACCCCTGTTACCAAGAACTAAATGCCACCTAAGGTCCTGTTGGGAAACGTACAGTAAGAATGACATTAAAATAAATAAGCCAATTGAGAGTGAATCCAATTTTCGCTTGCATTTTATCTACCCCTTTGCTCCACAATGTTGAGGCGAACACCCGGTAAGAGTTCTAATTTGGTATGTTTGATTTCAGCTACTTTAGGCCTACGCGTGGTCATCTTTGATCGTCTCTCAGACTCAGGCTGGAATTCATGGTTCTGTTGTAATTTTCTCCTACGCAGCCTTCTGTGATCTAGGTCCTTCCAGAAAAGTAGCACACGGAGTGAGAGAGAACGACCGTTTTCTCCTCTCAGGCTCTAAATGATGGGCCACTCGGCCTCGACGTCACCGCGTTCTCTCTGCACCCGTCTGTCGCTGTTCCGGGCGGGTTAGCGGGAACGAATCGCGCCAAGGATAGCAGGTGAGCCAGCGGTGAAAGAGAAACCTTACTTAGGGACGTGCGGAGAACTCTCACTCCATTTTTGACAGGCAACCCCGTTTTTCGTTTTGGACACCGTCCCCCGGTAGCTCCTTCCGTTTCCCGTCTTGCACTCTGAAAGATATACTGAGAAGAAACCCACGCAGTGGTCAGTCCCTTCCCAACAAGACAGTCCAGGCCCAGCCCTGCTCGTCACAGCGAAAGGACTTGGATGGCCTACCGTCCAAGGTCACCTGGTATACCTGTGTTTGGTGCTTTGATCATGTATTCAAAGCCACCGCCCCTCCGTGTCCTGGGAGTCACACTGGGCTCTGGGGGCACAGAGGGTGGAAGGGTGGAGGCCCCCCATCATGGAGTTTCCATTCCAGGGGAGTCGGGGGCTGTCACAGAAAGTTATCGAGGACGCAGCCTCATGGTGGCGTGTGACAGAGAAAATGAACAGCTGTTGAGCCAGTGAAGGGACGGGAATAAGAGCTTTCAGACAGGGTGGCCGGTGGGCTTCTCAGGGGCCAAAGGGGATCCAAGCAACCTCATTTTTTTGAGGCTCCCAGTGTTTTAAGTATGGAAAGTGTCAAATGGGGTTACAAATAGTGATCTACTTGAAATGTTTACAGTAGAGGCTCTCAACCAGCCACCACTTAACCTACTCACAGGTTAGGGCTCCCTCCTGTCCTCAAAACAGCGTCAGGTGCCCACCTGTGGCCCACGTGTTGCAGGGGGGCACCTGCGGCCCGAAGGCCACTTTCAGTGTGTCCCCTACTTCCCGTCCCACCAGCTGGCTTATAGGCGTACCATTGTTTTATTGTCAAAACTTTTCACACAGCTTTGCTTGATTAAAAATGATCTAAGCTGGCCTGGCACCATACGTAGTTATTATAATATTATAAACTAAAAAATGAAGGAGAAAATAGGCCTCTTTTTAACTACGTTAAATGCTTTTAAGGACCTGAAAGAGTTGAATACTTTCAAAAATTGCTATCCAATCCACTGAGGGCAATCCGCTCATACAGTTGACTATATAAGTTTGGGGGGGGGGGTCATAAAAAATCTAAAGGTATTTTACAGTCAGACTGATGAACAGATGTCTCTAGACCTTGCCCCACTTCAAAGAGAAGGACCTGATGATTGTAGGCAAGGCTCTTACAGAGTGATTTACGCACGGAGCACACCAGTAACTCGTGAGTGGCCCATGTTCAAAGACAGAAAGCCTCCACCCCAAATGTGCCGGTGTAAACTTGTGTTTGCGCTGAAAACATACACTATTTCAGGTGTATTTGCATCATCTTTCATGATTCCCCACTTCGGCCAAGTTTTAAAATTAACTGATGGCTTCTCTGGGGAAGCATTTCTGACACACCTGTGGCGAGTAGAGCTTTTAACCCAGCCCGGTGTAAGATTGCAAGTGTCTGTTCACTGAGATGTATTATTACAGTAGACACAGGACACGTATCAACGTGTACTTTTGAGGACCCGGGTCTAAGGAGACTTTGAAAGGGAGCTGGAGCAGGCTCTGTGGCGCAATGGATAGCGCATTGGACTTCTAGTGACGAAAGGGAGCTGGGGCTTGAGCTAAGACCTGGGAGATGAGAAGGAAGCGGCCAGGGAACAGAGGGGCTCCCAGGCAGCAGGGATGTGCCTAGCATGGTGCAGGAGCAGGTGCAGGCTTCCGGAGCCTGCAAGCGAGGTGGGCTGCAATGGCGCGGGGCCTGGAGCCCTCGGTGAGCATTTGGGCTTTACTGCAAGGGCATGAAGCCTTTGAGGCAGGGATGTTCGAGACCAGCCGCTGCAGCGGCGATGGCAGCGTAGACCCAGGGGGTGGCAGTGGCGGGGTGGCAGGTGGCAGATGTAAGCATGACACTGTTCCCAGAAGAGTGCTGGCAGGTATTCAGCAGCAGGTTGATATTCCACAGCACAGAAACAAGCACCCCAATGCCTGACCTTTGACTTGATCTCTTTTGTTTGCATGTACCTGCCAGAGTTTACATAACCTTTTGCTCCTTTCCACCTGGACAACAGGCCACTCCAGCGACTCACACGAAGGCTACCAGTCGCCCCCAGGGCCCTCTGGTTAACAATTTACAGATAACATTTACATGCTAGCATTTTGCAGGGACAATCCCACCAGGTCCCCGTTTCTCTAATCTGGGGGATAGTAGATATCACTATGTATTCATCCTTGACTCACTATTTGTAAAAACTAAGAACTTCACCAGATAAATGTTAGATCTAACCTGCACTTTCGTCTTGGGAATTAGAGAGAACGGGGTAAGGAAGGGGGGTAGCAGACATACCGCGAACTAAACCCGAGAAGCTGGACTCGTGCGGGGACAGAATCCCTCCCTAAGGAAATACTTTTGAAATAGTATTTAGAGTTTCCTAATGAGCTGGGGAGAACGTTACGAGTCATTGTCGAGATACATGGAACCGGGCATTGCTGGTGGCCCTGCACGCCCGTGACGTAGAGCATGGGGGAGCTGGGCTGCTAGAAATGGTCTTCACACCTAGCCAACAAGAGTTGAGGCCGTTTTAAAACGTCATACATTGGCTGAAATCTTCATAAATGTTTTCGTGTCTAAACAACCTGCGATTCCCAAGGGAGTGTGGGCCGCCTGTTACCCTAAACCGTGGGAGAGTACCCCCAGGGTTCTCGAGGAGACTGTGGGAAAAAAACATACGCTCTGGCCCATTTTCAAAAGACAATATTCCGAGTCTTTGGGAAGTACAGGCCATGGCCCCCTCCCCAAAAGGAGACAATTTAAGAGTAGAAATTAACATGTTGTCTCTACGCAAGTGCTAGTGCGGAATTTAAACACTTCAGTGTTTCGTTTTGTTTGTTTCTGCAGACTTCAGTCCCAAAGCTGGGGCCCAAGGACAGCGTCTGTGCAGAACAAAAATCAGTCATAAGGAATGTCTAGACTCTCCCCTCTCCTTAACAATCAAATAAAATGTGGAAGATTTTATTTTCAGTCATAGAGATAATTGTGATTTTGTGAATTTGATCCCTAAATTTTTTTTTTTTACTCTTCACCCGAGGATACTCCATTTATTTTCAGACATTGGGGCGGGGGGGACATCAGTGCAAAAGAGACACATCGACTGGTTGCCTCCCGCACAACCCCGACCAGGGCCAGGGACCGAACCACAACCAAGGTCCATGTCCTTGACCAGAATCGAACCCGAGATTCTTTGGTCCCAGGCCAATGCTCTAACTGGTGAGCCAAACTGGCCAGGGCCGATCCCTTCATTTTTAAATGAAGAAAAATGAAACATAAAAGGTGAAGTAATATACTCAAGTTGATATAGTGGGTTAGTGGCCGAATCCTGTCCTGACTCCTAATTCAATTCTGCTGCCCTGTGACACCTCCATTTTGGGGTCTGATAAATACTAGATACAAAGTGGGGGAGCGGAAGGAGTGAGGAGGGGGAGGCGGAGGAGGAGAGGTAGATGAACAGGAGAAGGAGGAAAAGAACACATTGTACCCACTTCTCTTTTCAAACAGAACCACATCTCTCATCCTGAAGACTGGGGTTGACTTGCTGTTCTCAGCCATGAGCACACATTGTTGCTCCTTACTGTGAAACTGGAAAGACCTGCGGAGGAGAATCGGGAGAGGCAACAAAAGTTTTTCTTTAATTAAGGAAAGGAAACTTTTTAAAAAAATTTGTTTTTGTTACAGATGTTTCTCCTTTTTCCCCAGTGACAGCCTCCTCCTGACCATCCTCCCCCAGCGTTGCTGTCTGTGTCCATTGATTATACATATATGCATAAGTTCTTTCGTTTATCATCTCCACCCACCCTCTCCTCTGAAGTTTATCAATCTGAACCCTACTTCTATGTCTCTGGGTCTATTTTGTTCATCACCTTATTTTCTTCATTATATCCATGTGATACTTGTCTTTCTCTGACTGGCTTATTTTGCTTAGCATCATACTCTCCAGTTCTCTCTCTGTCGTCTCAAAGGGTAAGAGATTTCTCTTCTTACAGCTGCATAGTATTCCATTGTGTAAATGTACCACAGCTTTTTTATTCACTCATCTATTGATGGGCACTTGGGCTGTTTCCAGATCTTAGCAATTGTAAATAGTGCTGCTATGAACATCGGAGGACATGTATTCTTTCTGATGGGTGTTTCAGGCTTCTTAGGATATATTCCTAGAAGTGGGATCACTGGGTCAAATGACAGTTCAATTTTTAATTTTTTGAGGAAACATCATATTGTTAAGGAAACAAACTTTTATTGATAAGCAAGAGCCTCTTAAGATAGTTGTATCTCTTGATGGATCAAGGAGCTCAGAATTGTTATTTTCAATTCAATGTAGCCCAGTATCAAGATGGTGCTGCAAAAACGATACATTAACATGGTGGTTACTCTTGTTTTCTTCCGCCTTTACCTCCTCCCTTCTGGTCCTCCAAATATACTCTTTCTTTTTCAGCTACTCTACTCTTTCTTCATTCATGTTCTTAATTAAGTTCCAGAACATTCGCTTCTGTGTCAGAAAGAAGCAATTCTGATTGCTTTGACCTGATTTCCAAAATGGTCTACATGACCTCGATAATTTCCCCTGGACTTGCACCTCTACATCCAACCCCCTCTCCCTGGACCTCACACCTCCTTGCCGATCCACGTGGTCCTGCCGTGGATGTGCAGTCGGGCATTGGAGGCCATCCACGGCGACCTTTCCAGCCCCATCTCCTACATGAACCCTTCGTGTTAGCTGCTTCGGTCCATCCTCAGTCCATCCTCGGTCCATTCTTGGTCCCTCTCACAGGCTTGAGGCCATGCCACACCCTCTGCCTATACTGGCTCTAGCTTATCAATATTTACCAGGCTCCCACTTACCTTTAAAAGCCCAGCTCAGTTCCCACCTCCTCCCCGAGGTCTTCCTGGCTGTATCAACCCTTAGGAATTGTTCTTTCCTCTGAATCTTGATAGAGCACATAGCGCTTATGTCACTTACTGATACCTCACATTGGCTGTTTTTGTTTTTTGTTTTTTTATTTACACTTTATTCCATTTCTGTAACTGCACCACAGCATTACCTACAAAAGGCAAGGTCTGGATCTTGTATCTACACAGAGACCTAACCTGGGTAGTGTTATATATCACATATACTGGACCACTGGGTCTCTGTTCCTTCGCTCCCTGGGGTCTAGAACATTTCCACACACGTGATCCTCAATAAATGCTGAGTGATGTGAAATGATGTCAAAAACTAGAACTCAGAATGATAGTTGCCGATGTCACATGTAAAAATAAATAAGTTCCTTTGGGGGCATTGTTCTAAAGAGGACTAATACATTGAACAAGGAACTGTTGGCATGGATTCAGACACAGGGAGCAAACACAGATTCTAAACTCTGTCCCCAGGAAATTCCTCTTTCCTCTTAGATCCTGTCTTTGTCAAGTCCCTGAGCACATTTCTTGATGACGAAATAACAGCGTCTCAAACAGCAAGGTGCCTGCACGGGCACAACAACAACAGAAGTACCTGCAGACAAAGTCCGTCTCTCCCTCGCATTTTGCCACGCACTCGGCTGTGCTCCTTGCTTCCAGACTCTTCTTGGTGCGCGTTAGCAGCGACGCCCCCTGCGTACTGACATAGCTGTCCAGAGGGTCTCCGTGACCTGCAAGCGGATGGGCAGAGTGGGGCAACTGGTCACACCGTTGTTTGGCTTAGGGTGACTCTGTAATCTATTTGCTTTGCACCCACCGAAGAAAACACGCTGCTTTATTGCAGACGAAATGATGGCCACAAAGAAGAATGCTAGTCTGGAAAACCGGTCCCTTAACAGGCTGCACTCTGTTAAAACCAACTGGATTGATCGATTCGTGGATTAGAACTATTTCATCGGTGTTGCTAGGTTAATGGGTGCAAAGCCTTAAGTAAGAGTTAATTTGGTCTGTCTGCTGTTGATTCTGTGTGGTGACAGAACACCAGAGACCACCGGTGGCAATTGGGTCACCAGTATCGGTGACTCGGTGACTTGTTCATCCCTGGGTCCCAGAAGAACTTGGGGCCATTACTTGATCTCCAACAGTCTAAACTTGGGTTGTCACACTGTCCCTTAAACTGATGTGATAAACATTCTCTGAATGGTTCCAACTCGAGATACAAAACTTTTGGTGAGTTGATGATATTGAGAATAAACAGGACCTAAAGCAGAGGTTATTTTTAGGCTGGGCTTAGTACAGGGACATGTCACAATCAATTAAAGAGAAATAAGTTCTTCCATGATAAGTTCTGGCATTTTGGAGGAAATTGTAAAAAAAAAAAAAAGCAGGCAAATGCTGGTCTTGAGCTTTCTGTGAGATAAAACTCTAAGGCAAAGGCTCCGTCTGAAGGTTGCTGCGCCCTTGTTCCTGAGTTTGAGGGGCCTGAGTCATGCTCCCATGCCAGGCCACAGGGTGTCCCTGATCCCAGGCTCCAGGGGCACCTGACCTCGCCTTAGGAGCTCGATTCCAGGCCTGGAGATGTCAGTCTCCATCCTTTGGGAATGGAATACCAGTGATTTACACAGGGTGAGAGGCCAGGGAGGTTAATAAAATAAAGATAGCAAAGTTTCCTAAAGTTTGCCTAAATGGAATTGGGCAACATGGAACCTTGACCACTTTGAAGGGAGTGCTGGGGACCAACGCCAGATGGAGGGGCTGAAGCGCGACCGGGAGCAGGAGCAGGGCTGGGAAAGGAGACTCTGGAGGGGCGTGTGCGGTCTCGAACACTGGTGGAGAGGACACATGTTTGGTGCTGATGAAAATCGTTCGTAGGAAGGCTTATTAAGAGTCAGTCTTGCCCGGCCAGTGTGGCTCAGTGGTTGAGCATCGACCCCTGCACCGAGAGGTTGCCGGTTCGATTCCCGGTCAGGGCACATGCCCAGGTTGTGGGCCCGATCCCCAGTGGGGGCATGCAGGAGGCGGCCAGTCAGTGTTCTCTCTCATCGATGTTTCTCTCTGTCTCTCCCTCTCCCTTCCTCTCTCCCTAAAACCAATAAGGAGAAAATATTTTTTAAAAGAAGAGTCAGTTTTCTTCGAAAGGCCATCCAGCCCCTGAGAACACAGGGGCCAGCTCTCTGCGGGACAGGGAGAGAACCACCCCTCCCCCTTGGCCTTCCCCGGTTAGGACAGTTGGAGCGGCACGGGGACACTGCACAAGGAGGTGGCTGGTGCATTTAAAGGTATAAAACACACAAAACACACTTGATAACATTGAGAAGATTATGGACAAACAGACACTTTAGACCAGTATTGAGGTTGTCTTCCGGCATCTTCTTTTACTTCCGTGAAGAGTTGGGTTTTAGTAAACGCTACAGCTCAGGGTGTGATTTATAGAAAACAAACCCATTAACTCTATAAAGCATATTCTAGAAACGTTAAACTAAACCTTTGGAAGAGTTCTTACAACGTGGAGCAGGCCAGGGTATAAACGATGTCCAAACAAGAACATTTCCATTTCTATCACCCTTCACTCAAGTTGCCTTTTAATCATGTTAGGTTGAGACACACCTTAGGAACAAACATCCCAGAGATATCCCAAAAGAGATTTAATTTTTAAATCCCCCCCGCCCCAAATATTTTCTTTTACTCAACTCTAGGGCTCATATGGCAACAAGGTGTAATGTAGTTTATTTGTTGACCAAAAAATAGTAAACAAATCTTTTCAGTAAGAAAAGTATGTTTCTAGGCCAGTTGCTACCAAGGCAAGTGCATTTTACTGATGACATGGGCCTGTCTGCTTTCCGATCACTGTGGGGTGTGTGCACCCAGATTTGTGCATTTGAAAGACAAGACCCAGTGGTGTGTGAAATGAAACTCCTTACCCACCTCCCACTGGGAACAGCTGAAAATAATATTTTCTTCTCCTGGGTGGTTTCAGTGCATTGAACAGATGAAACGATTCTCAGAAAGAGAGACCATGCCTTCCTTTCAAACAGAGGGTAAGGAAGCCTCCCCGACCCAGGTGGGTGAGGACCTATGTTAACCCTGTTGCAGAGAAGTTGTTTTACCCTGTGGGTGTCCCAGGCCCTGCCTCCCACTGGCGGGAAGCAAGGCGCAGACCTGCACCCTCCCACTCAACCGGTCCCCCCAAACCTCTTGGTGCTGTCTTCTGCTCTGTGTGCCCTTCGCTATTTCGTCAACGGGCTCCACTAAGTTCAAACGTATTTGACTCTAAAGTACAACTTGTAAGATTTCATCTTGCAATTTATAACTTTAATTTCAAGTACCTATACACTGTGTCTGTGAAGAACTGCTTGCATATTGTATCATTCCCTTTATAGGAGATGTCCAAAATAGGCAGATCAGAAACAGAAAGTTGCCAGAAGTGGATGAAGTTGGAGGTGGGGGTGGGGGAGGGGATAACAACTAAGGGTACGGAGTGCTTCGGGGGATAATGAAAATGGTCTAATTTTGTGGCGACAGGTAACCGCTCCGAATGTAGTGGAAACTACTGGATTGTAGGCTTTAAATGGGTGAGTTGCATAGTGTGTGAATGACATCACAAGAAAGCTGTCAAGGAAAAAAGAACTGTAAGGACATGCTTAGGGTATTTTAAAGAAAGTTTAAACAAAGCTGAACATGTGAGGAGAGCACCAAGATTCCTTCTTGGGAAGCCCTGGTTTAAATCTGGTGTCTTCCCCTTGCAGGACTTGGGAGTTTGGTCAATAGGCAAATAACATGATTTTCCTAAGTATGGATTAAGTCGCCTATAAGATGGGGGTGAATATGCCACCCTACTTATCGCACCAGATAAATAAGCTGGTAATAGTAAAGGACACACGTGTGTGTGCATGTTAGTAAAGGACACACACGTGTGTATGGATGTTCGTAAAGGACACACGTGTGTATGGGTGTTCGTAAAGGACACACACGTGTATATGGATGTTCGTAAAGGACACACACGTGTGTATGGATGTTAGTAAAGGACACACGCGTGTGTGTATGTACAATCACGTGCCTGGCCCCCCTCGAGCACTGAGTGCGTACTCGGCTGCTGTCTGTGAACATCACTTGGCAAAGCGATGCCCGTGGTTCCTCCAGGCACAGAAGCAAATGTGTCCGCATGAAAAGCCTCACTAAACCCTCAGCAAATGGGAGACTAGCAAAGAAACTGCAGACTGACCCAAGGCTGTAGTCAGAGACATTTCATTGCTGACATTTGAAAGTGAGGAGAATATGACATCTTAAGGAACATGATATAAATGAATCAAACTGAAAACAGGCAAAGAGACTAACAACTTCCCTGGGCGGTTTGCCTCAGAGGTTAGAGTGTGGGCCCGAGGACCGAAGGATCTCAGGTTTGATTCCCAGTCAAGGGCATGGACCTGGGTTGCAGGTTCGATCCTGGCCCTGGTCAATGTGTCTCTCTCCAATAGATGGTTCTCTCTCCCCCTGCCCCTTCCACTCTATCTAAGAATTAATGAAAAAATATCCTTGGGTGAGGATTAACGAGAGAGAGAGAGAGAGAGAGAGAGAGAGAGAGAGAGACTGACAACTTTTTGAGTTGTTAGCTCTATGGGCTATTTTTTTCCCCCACGAAAATAACTATTATTTGAGCTTAATCTTTTTTTAAAATTATTATTCTCACCTGAGGACATTTTTGCATTTATCTCCAGATAGAGAGGGAAGGAGAGAGGAAGAAAGAGGGAGAGAGAAACATCAATGTGAGAGAGACACATCGACTGGCTGCCACCCACACGACCCCAACCGGGGCCAGGGACAACCTGCAACCGAGGTACGTGCCCTTAGCGGGAACCGAACCAGGGACTCTCTGGTCCGCGGGCCGACGCTCTAACCGCTGAGCCAAACCAGCCAGGGAAAGCTCAATCTTTTATATATAAAAATATTTTTGCCCTGGCCGGTTTGGCTCAGTGGTTAGAGCATTGGCCTGCGGTCCAGAGAGACCTGGGTTTGGTTCCCACTAAGGGCATGTACCTCGGTTGCAGTTTGTCCTGGTTGGTCGTGCGGGTGGCAGCCACTTGAGGTGTCTCTTTCACGTCGATGTTTCTCTGTCTCTCTTCCTCTCTCTCCCTCCCACTCTACCTGAACAAAAAATGGAAAAATTTCCTCGGGTGAGGATAAAAAATAAATAAATAAATAAATAAATCGCTAACTCTTCTCTGCCCCTTCATCTCCAGTATTTCCAGGGAAATGAAACTTGTTTCTGGACAAATCTTATGTTTAGATGTTGAACTGGGAATCTCTGGAATCAAAAGCTAAACGGAATTAGTGGCTCATAAAACCATAGTGTATCTGTTTTCAATACATTGCTAGAAAAAAAAAAATAGTGATGAAAGTGAACAACAACAACAACAACAACACCCTGGACGTCTTACCTGCTTCCAGAAATAAGAGAAGCAGAAGCAGCACCTTCTTGTGTTCCATTTTGGGACTGGCCAGCAGAGGCCAGACCACGGGCCCCAGTCCCAAGATGCTGCTGACTGGCGTGACTGGAAGCGGACGAGGTGGCCCCGGGCGTTAATCATTATCTCGGGCCGTTGCCCCTGTCGATGAGGGTCAAACATTACCTTGGCGGAGGGTCTTACAACATGTTTCCACCTGCAATAGATGCTGGGAAATGACGCAAGCCGCCCGCCCCCCGCAGCCCCAGGCCGCCTCTGGCCCTCCTTTCTCTCCTTGCCGCCGCCCATCAGCTCTCCCCCTCAGTCTTGCTTCCTTCCCTCGTCGTCCATTCTCTTTCTCTGGGGTAAAAAAGAAAAGAAAAAGAAAGAAATCACGGTCATAGCTAACGTTTGCTGAGAATGTCCCCTGTGCTGGGCACGCTGCTAAGTGATGCATCCGCATCATTTCATTCAACCTTCCAACTAGCGGATTATTATCACCCCCGCTTTGGATCGGGCTAATAATAGACATGAACTTTCCCAAGGTGAACGAGCTCACAAGGGTGAAGCTAACAGACACCAAGTATTTAGGCCTCAGACCACAGGCGTGAGCTTGGGCACCGTCGTTAGCATCCACACATTATCAGTGTAGGAATGACTATGTAAGGTATTTTATTATTATTATTATTATTATTAAAAGCTCTTTATGCCCAGGGACTCCCATGTTTCCATGATTATAAGTGATGTTAGAAAAGTGTTGGTCTTTTCTCTGAAGGAATTCGCGTGCATTAGGTGCTCATCCTCCTGAAGTAAAGCTACAGTGGCAAAGTCATGTTTAACACATTCTCATTGTGAATTCTGTACTTCTCCCTGGCTTCAGGCTAGAATGGATAAAGAAGTACATGCTTTAAGACTCCTATTTCAGTGTCCCCAAATATTTAGGAATAGCTAAATGGACTCTATTTAAAATGTGAAATAAGAACAAGAAAGTCCTTTCTCCAGGTATGAAATCCCCTCTGTAAATTAACCAGGGATGCGTCCAGGTGGGACCTTCCCACAGTCCCTGGGATTGAAGCTACTGTGCAGACATCTCAGGAGCAAGGAGGTGACATGACTGTGAGGGGCAGGGTGACCTGATGGTGTTTCCTGATTTTCTGCTTTATCCCATCCTAGCTTTTCTTCTCTCCTCAAACTCAGCCAACTCCCTCTCACCTAGTGGCCCCGTTTCCAAGGGCCACAAGGAGGAAGCGAGTTGAGAAGTCAGCACCGAATGGTCTTATTTCTTACAACATCAGAAATGTGCCTGGCCGGTGTGGCTCAGTGGATTGAGCGTCGTCCCATGGACTGAGAAGTCCCCGGTTCGATTCCTGGTCGGGGCACATGCCCGGGTTTTGAGCTCAATCCCCAGTGGGGCGTGCAGGAGGCAGCCGATCGATGATGTTTCTATCTCTCTCTCCCTTCCTCTCTCTAAAAAAATCAATAATAAATATAATTTTTTAAATATCAGAAATGTCTTTCAGGAGGATCACATTGGTATGTTGGAGAAAGTATTTTGGGGGGAAAACAGGCTCTGTGGGTACATACAGACTCCACGATGCATTTATTTCCATTTGAGATATTTCAGCACACCTCGTGGGGAAGGGACCTCTGGAACAACGTCGTGGGAACTCTCCATCCACAAATATTTCCTTTTCTGTGTTTTTTTTTTAAAATTTGGGTGGTGGTGGTATGCCTTTTGCCCCCTTTTCTCCTGGAAGCTTCGAGAAAGCATTTGATTCTACAAGTGTTTGTTTTGTAAATGAGGTTGCCCTCCTATGGCCACTATATAGTCTTCATCATCTTCATCGGGGATCAGCGTCGTGAGAGCCCAGCTACCCACGAGCAGAGCTTGGCCACGGAGCCTCCCAGTTCTGCAGGTGTGGAGAGGGGAGCAAAGACAGGTGCATTGCTCAGGCAGAGGCGGGGTGCATGCGTGGGGACTCCCCTTATGGCACAGCCCTCCCCGCTTTAGCTTCGTAGGCACAGGGCAATGGACCACTCTGAACTGTGCATAGGAACCCACCATGGGCACGCCTGCAGGGATGTGGGGCCATGGTTTTGCCCAAGGCTATAAAGGTGATTAATTCAAAACATGTTGTTTTCTATTTGAAAGAATGGCAGAAACTACAGAAAGAGATACAGAGAGAACATCTCTGTATACAGTTAGCAGACTGAATACATTCTGAGATACGAATTCATACCGAGTTCAATGCATTAAGTATTTACTGACAACCTTCTGGGTACAGCCTTGTGCTACATTGTTTTAGGGTTACATAAAAGTTACAATTCACAGTCTCTGCCCTCCTGCCTCCAGGAAATCTTGTGCCTAGGATGGGTGGAGCCTGCTGCAGCGCTGTGGCCAGGCAAGGACGTTAACATAAGATGGGAGAACGACCAAGTTCCCTTCCTTCTGCCCAGCATGGGGCCCACAGCCAAGATCCACTCAGATTTCCTGAGGAGGGGAAGAACTACCAGCCCCTCCCCTGCAGGCATCAGAGGACAGGTGACCGTCTCTAGGAGAGTGAGGGACAGTGCCCCTTTAGGGTCCTGCACCCTGAAGTGGGAGCTGCAGCCAGGTCACAACTCTCCAGGTGACATGCTTTCACACTGCATGGACCCTGCGGTGCGGACCTGACCTTTGCACCTGCCACCATCTCCCCTCCCCACCCACTCAGCCCCTTCCTCCCGCCCCAGGCTCTGCCACCCGGAAACCCGCATTCTCTCCCACGGACATTTCTGAATCTCTCTGACAGGACCATGGCGTTTCAAAACAACAATAGCGAAAAGTTATCTATTGAGGGCTCAGACAAAGTACGTCTTCATTGTTGCAAGGGTTCTGGGCAAGTGTGTCTTTGCCCTCGATGCCGATTGGCGGGCTGCTCTCACTGTGTTCGCTTGTAGGAGCGGCTCACCCAGGACACGTGTTCTCATGACTCTGAAAGTGGCTTTCGTTGCTTCTTTCAACCTTTTTCTTCTGTTTGCAAGCTTTGTTCCGCAGTCTCTGGGACCACGGAGTGAAGTGCTCATCAGCCTCTGCTCCCGTGGAGACAGCAGGGCCGCTCAGCTAGCACGGGGGTTAAAGTGTAACCTGTCTGGAGGACGCCCTGAGACCCGACGGACACTTTCAGTGTTCAGTTAGCGCAACTAGCACGGGGGTTAAAGTGTAACCTGTCCGGAGGGCGCCCTGAGACCCGACGGACACGTTCAGTGTTCAGTAGCACAGGGGTTAAAGTGTAACCTGTCCGGAGGACACCCTGAGACCCGACGGACTCATTCAGTGTTCAGCACGGTGGTCATTTTCTTAACTGAGTTTTGCTTGCGGACATGAAGATATTCATTCATTCCTGAAAAACAGTGTTCAGTGAACATCTCTCATTAGACTTGTCATAAACCTAAGAAAAACATTGGTAGAGAAGTGAAGTTCCTGAATCCGCCCTGGGACTCCCCAAGGATCCGGACAAGCATCCTTTTGCTCTGAGGTCTGGCTCTCTGTGCATAAATCAAAGACAGAAACCAAATCGTCCTTCCCACCTCTAAATGTGTTGTTCTCTAAGCTAATTAAGACAGAAATCTTTCCCCACAGTGCTTAGAAGTGACAAGACATGTAGAAAGCATTAAAATATTTTAAGAGAAAATAATGAGTGCATGTAAAAACTGGTGAAATTTCAGCAGTCTGCGCACTAGTTGAGCACACGGTACCAAGAGCGACTTTCTGGTGTTGACAATAAACTTTATAGTTAACTAAGATGTTCCCTTAGGCTGGTGACTGGCTCATGGGTACACTCGCCATGTGATGGGGACTTCTCAGTGCTATTTTTTGTGTTTATAATTATTTCAAAATAAAAAGTAAAAAAAAAAAATATGTCTATAGCTGTATATATTTGCATGTATGTGTTTATATTTGGATATGTGTATGCATTTGGATATATATTTATATATTTAGCTATGTGTACAGGGGAAGCAAAAGTAGGTTTACAGCTGTGAGTACACAAAGTAGAGTTTATTCTCGTATCATTACCTATTAATTGTTGCATTGCTTTCCATACCAACAACTGTAATCCTGCTTTTGTCCCACCCTGTATATATTTGGCTACATATGTATATATTTGGATATGTGTGTATATTTTTAAATATATGTTTGGATATGTATATATATTTGGCTCTATAGGTATATATTTAGATGTATATGTATTTATTTGAATATGTGTGTATATTCTGGAATATATTTGTTTCTTTTTTTGTTTTTTTTTATCCTCACCCGAGGACATTTTTCCATTTTTTGTTCAGATAGAGTGGGAGGGAGAGAGAGGAAGAGAGAGGAGAGAGAAACATCGACGTGAAGGGACACATCGAGTGGCTGCCACCCGCACGACCAACCAGGGCCGGGGACAAACTGCAACCGAGGTATGTGCCCTTAGCGGGAACCGAACCCGGGTCTCTGCACCGCAGGCCGACGCTCCAACCGCTGAGCCAAACCGGCCAGGGCCTGGAATATATTTGTATATGGATACATATGTACACACTTGGATATGTATTTATGTACTTGAATATGTGTGCACATATTTAGGAGGACCCAGGATGCTGTAAATGTTTCCATAATATTAAAGAGAACTCCCAAAGTACAGAAACTTGTCCCGTTGCAAACAGGAGTGGTACTCAGCCTCCGCTGGGTTCAGGAGCCGGAAGGTGGGCAGCGAGGGAGGGCCGGCGCCGCCTGCACCCCAGGGCTGGCAGTGACTGAGGCCCCCATGGGGTCCTGCACGTGACCCGTGGTGGGAGGCTGGAGGAGCCCCAGCCTGTGCGGCCTCCTGGGTGCTCAGGGGGGACCCCCCTCTCTGCACCCGGATAGACACCCGCCAAACAGAGGCCCCGCATCTCGACTGGACCCCAAGTACTGGCTCCTCCCTTCTCCCTGCCCCGGTCCAGGCGTCCGAAGAGCTGCGAGTGACGAGTGGGGGAGGGCAGGGCTTCCCACGCGAGCGAGCAGGGCTGTGAGCTCCTTCC